CACCTGGACACATCACCTGCCTCAAATCATACGGAGGAGTTCTGGAAGCTTAAAGGAGGAAAGACACCAGTGCTATAGGAGAGAGGACCGGGCCTGTGACTGTTGCTTTTAGTTTGTTTTGTTGAATTTGTTATTAAATTATTTAAATTATTATTGGTTCTCTGCCTCCTTCTTCCCGGTGGCTGTTGACATTATTACTGTGCGTTCACACAGAAGGCAGTGAGAGTGTTCAAGGTTGCTCTGGCCACCCTGGCGACAGCGCTGTCTGTCTTCAGCTTCAGCGGCAAGAGCGTCAAAATTTGCCACATTAATCCTGCTTATAAAGCTGTTGCTGCATATCAGCTAATCAGTTACATTCCAACCTAGCACTGTCGCCTCACAGCAAGAAGGTCACTGGTTTGAGTCCTGGCTGGGCCAGGTGGGATTTCTGTGTGGAGTTTGCATGACGTTAACGCAGAGATGTCCAAACTCGGTCTTGAGGGGCGGTGTCCTGCTGAGTTTAGCTCCAACTTGCTTCAACACACCTGCCAGGAAGTTTCTAGTATATCTAGTACGAGCTTGATTATCTGGTTCAGGTGTGTTTGATTAGGGTTGGAGCTAAACACTCCAGGACAGTAGCCTTCCAGTACCGAGTTTGGACACCCCTGCGGTAATGTATGGGTAATTTTGTATAAAATAATATGGCCATAATAATTGAATGGAAGAGTGTTTAGATGTTTCTTCACACTTATTTTTCTTATTTTGTCTTATTAGTCTTCAGTGTGAACACACTACTTGCACTATTCATACTACAAAATGGCATAGAATATTGCATGTGTGATTTGGTAAGCACCTTATATTATTAGACTAATGTAAGGAATAGTGAATGAGGGTATTGGGGGCGATTTTTAGATACAAAGTAAAATAATAAAAAAAAGCAGACCCCAGCATAAAGCAACTGTCGCAGGCATGATGTGTCGCCCAACAGTGAATTCAGTGTATTGTTGGTATTCACGGAATCCGTTCTCAGCCATTGATGTGATACTCCAGGAATACTGATTCATCAGAAGAGGCCACTTTCTTCCAATCCTCAGTAGTCCAATTTAGATTTCTGCTCCCCTTTGACACCAATGAGCTGTGGATGATACCTTCTTTGTGTTGTGGCAAACCGTTGGTTGCCTTTGCTCCGCCCTTTCTAACTAGAGCACACTAGCTCAAGTGCACTACAAGTCACCAGTGAGAGAACACCAGGTGAAGTTGATCTAATTAGCAGGGAAGAACAGACTCAATGCAGAGTAGCGGTTGCTTGAACAGAAGAAAGATTCCATTTGTGCTTAGTTAAATGCAAAATGAAGAATCATTCGGTGAGCTTTCATATTCTGTTTGAATTGTGTTGTATCAATTGTTATTGTTTTACAGGAATGGTTTGTTTGTCATGTTTGGCCGTCACAGTTTATGTATGTCATTTGTTGTGTCAATTTAGCACTTTTTAAATAAATTTTATTTGTGAATTTATGTAGAAAGTACAGGGTATAAAATATGAATATATAAAATTATTTTTTTGTAAAATTTAATTACAATTAATCCAAAGTCATTTATTTTAAGAAGCAGTACATTTAGTATGTAAATGTTTAAGTATCTTTTCTTTTACATGCATGATATTTTTATTTTAAAGGAACAATTTGCATACAAGCTCTGCATTGTATTTTGGATTTAATTGTGCTCTTTTGGTGGTGTTTGTATTGGGTATAAACAGTAATGATTCCCATCTCTAGTCCTGGGTCCCCTCCGCCCAGCACTTTTTATCTTTTAACACACCTGATCCAGATCATCAGCTCGTTAGTAGAGATCCATAAACTGATCCATGTGTGAAAAATAGGAGAGAGATAGAAAGTGCGATCATGGCCCACACTCCTAACCAGCAGGTGACAGTGATGCACCTAAAAGTTTTATGCCAACTGCCAAAAAAAAACTCATGAGAAGAAGAAAAAAATAGGGCTGTTTCTCAATTCCAAGAATGCAGAGAACGGACTTGCATTCTTCTGTAGACCGGTCTTGCCATGTGTCCTCAAAGAACGAACTCGGGAGACTGCTAGGGCAGAGAACGCATCCTTTGAGAAATGAGACGCTGCGTTCTTCCTGATGTACACGTGACCTTCACTCATTTTAAATGGTAAATTATTTAAACAGTACAGCATTCATACAACGATTTATTGTTTTTCCCCTTTTCAAAATATATATTAAAAACATTATCAATATACTCAGCACAACATAAATAAAACAGATTTTAATCAATTTTATACCTTAATGTGTTTATTCATTTATTAAAATGTCCATGGTGATGTTTAGTTTTATTTAGGGAAACTCCTGCAGTAAATAAGTTAAATCTCTGAACTTTAATAATAAATCTAAATAAAATGCTGCACCTCCCACCTCCAGTCCCAATGACTTCTGGGACTTCCGGTGCTCAAGTCTTCATTGTTGCGTCCTCGATATCAAGAACACATCCGGGAAGTTTCATGCGTGCTCCGTACTTGCATTCTTGAGTTTTGGAACTGAACTTATGGAAGCTGATGATGACGTTGCACGAGGACGCAAGACTACTGAAGATCGCATATTGAGAAACAGCTTAGGAGAGCCCTGCTGTACGAAATGTGCTAGGTGAGCGGTCAGAAGACTGGAGTTGAAAGCCAGTGTTTTAGTACAGTCACATAAGTCAAAAGTTTTAATCCAAAAGTTTTGATGAATCAATTCATTGTTGATTTATTTGAGAAAAATATCCATGTGCACATTAAATTTGTGCTTTAATGTTAGAATAAAATGTATACACCTTAGAGCTGCATGATATATTTTTTCTGCATCAATATTGCAATGTGCACATTTGCAATAGTAGCATCGCAAGATGTGTAATTTTTAAGCCTGAATTATAGTTGACCAGGAGCCACAGATTTGCATTTAATTACTGTATATATACTGAATTTATATGATTTATTTTTAAAAATTTGCTCTCTTTTTGTCATGTTTCTAGTCCAAATATCTACATTTCAAAGCAAAAACAAGATTATTTTTCGTACTCCACTGACAGATTAATTGTTTTTTTTTTTTTTTAAGTGGAAAACATAATTTTTTTATTTTTAAGATATTTGAACTAGAAACTAGACAAAGCAAAGCATTTTTGTTGCATTGTGATTATTCGATTTCTGTACCTGAATATTTTTAACCTCTTTAGAAAAAAAAGGCAAATAGTGCAATTCAAACTATCTTGTGAAACTATTTAAATTGCATTATTTATCACAGAAAGATAAATAAATTTGCAATATCAGATTTTTCATGCAGCCCTATTACACATTTGGACAAAGTTTGGGTATACTAAATTACAAAATTTAACAATAGTGAAAATGGCTGCCTCTGGATTTCTAGTGCTTATTCATTAAGCAAAGCTAGTGACCATCAATATGAATAATTCATGATTCCCTGACTCAATAACACTGATTCAACTGCGAGCATCCTGTTGACTAAAGTTTTTTTCTCAGCACTGCAGACACTAACTCATTACTTGTAGTTGCCTTTTGAATAGAAAACTATTAATGCTCATGATGGTGAAGGACACAATGGCTCAGTGGTTAGCACTGTTGCCTCACAGCAAGAAGGATGCTGGTTCAACTGCTGGCTGGGTCAATTGGCTATTCTGTGTTGAAGTTTGCATGTTTTCAAGGTGTTCACATGGGTTTTCTCTGGGTGTTCTGGTTTCCTCCACAGTTCAAAAACATGCGCTCTAGGTGAATTGAAAAAGCTAAATTGGCCGTAAGTATGGGTGTATCCCAGTACTGGGTTGCAGGTGGACGGACTTCCGCTGTGTAAAACATATGCTAGATAAGTTGGATATGCTTTGGTTGGACATATGCTGCAGTTCTTTCCACTGTGGTGACACCTAATTAATAAAGGGACTAGGCCGAAGGAAAAGGAATGAATGAATGATGCGGAAGGGTGAGAAACCTGATGATCCACATTAATTTTTGTCAAAAAGCCATGGTGTCTCAGCTCTCAAACCGAGTGTTACGACCACCTTGTTTTTGTCACAACATAAGAGCTCAGACAACAAAAGGATATATATGCAACTTATTTATTATACATAAAACAAATAGAACAACAAACCAAGGAACAAACAAATGTTTAGGAATAAATAAAGAAGATAAACCAGGGCCAGACGGAATCTGTGGATGTTTTTTGCTATTTCTGCTGAGAATTTTGGTAAAAATCTGCGGATTTCTGCGGAGTATCATAACTAAAACTTTAATATATTAAATAAAAAGTAATAAATTACTGAATAAAAACTGAATAAATTCAGATTTACACATTTACTCAAGTAAATAAACAGAATTAATAATGGGCTAAGAATCTGCTAAATTCTGCGGAATTCTGCGCGCGCAGATTCTGTGTGGGCCTAAAGATAACTACCTTTAACTACACATAAATAATGCCAAACGAAATCATAAGGTTGCAGAAATAAAGAGATAGTCTTGACACAAGGACGGCCAAGTAGCCACACCATCCTCCAGTAGCTAGCAAATTACTCTTATTTATATGATTTAAACCAATTGGTGAGAAAGCAGTTAGGATCTGGCACAATCAAAGTGGAATCCTGGGGTTGTCACACCGAGCAATAATATACAGAAACCCATGTGTGTTTGTTCATCTCAAATGACTCTCTCTGTACTGTACCTGTGGTTTTCACTGCAGCTCTCATGCTGTCATGATGCTATTTCTGCTTGTGTTAGTGGGATGATGTTTTACTCGGCTGTAAATTCCTTGTCCTGCTCTCTTTATCCTGAGCACTACAGTGCTTTATATTTTATGAGCTTCACCTCCACTTGATCTCTTCACACTGATGCAATGGGTCTGTATAGGTTTTGTAAAATGTCAAATATAAGACACCATCACATTGATAAAAATCACATGCATGTTTCTTAACAGATGTGTGTTGTTGCTATTGTTGATTTCAATCTTTGTTTCGTCTGTAGATAGACAAGTTTGATCAGAACAGAGACTCTGTGTTCTTCAAGGATGGCGTACGGCGCATTGACTTCGTCCTGTCCTACGTCGATGACAAAGAGGGAGACAAAAAAGCGGTATGCCACAATTATACCACTCAGCATTTACAGTCATCTTTCTAATACCTGTGTTACAGACATGGTACTCGTTCTTTTAATTTAATATTTATTGTTAATTTATTTAGAGAAATTCGATGAAAATGCTGTGCGGAGACTTAAATGCACCTCATCTATGATGTTCAAGTTTTAAAAGCCAATGCACGAATCCCGCCAGTGCCGATATAAAGACATATCGCACTGCTATGAGTGTGATATTGCATTTTTACCACAGTTTGACGGCATAATCGTGTGTATAAAAAAGAAAATCAAACACGGAGAGTCTAAAATCTCTTTTTTATGAGGAACTACTTTCTTCCGCCATTTATTCACATCTGCAACTGATGACAGAACAGCAGAAACCGTTGCTACATCACCAACATCACTTTAGAGCTAGTATTGTCTAAAGTAATGGCAAAACAGGTGATTTTTGTTGACCTTTTAAGATTATAAGGCTGAATAAGGCCATTTCGCACTCAATACACTACAATTATTTGGTATAAGTACAGCCCTAGAGAGAGATTGACTTACAGTAGAAAGTCACTCACCTATTTTTTAATGATTTGATCAGCTGTAGAAATTACCGTCAACCGTTTTTGTTCTGCTCTATCACATGCTAATCACTAATTTTTTTCAAAAATTATACATATTTAAAATAGGCACTATCCTTATAAATAAACTGCATAGTTGCAATCTTAACAACTACTTTCTCACAAAAACCTCAACTACATTGTTGTCCAACAGTAGCAATATTTGTCAAAGTGTAGAGTGTCCTCTGCATGTTGCTGTATTTGGGGTGAAAAAGCTTGATGAATGCTGTTATTTGCACAGTATCGCACGGCTATCAGCCAATCAGATTCAAGAACCAGACAGAACTGTTGTATAAATATATACATTATTTATTTATTTAATAAATGCACTGCATTGTCAGTTATATTGCCAAATATGTAGTCATATGCATTCATTCTACCTATTACTTTTAATTAATTGATATTTGGGGTGGCATTGTGGCTCAGTGGTTAGCACTGTAGCCTCACAGCAAGAAGGTCGCTGGTTAGAGTCCCAATCCGGCAAGTTTTCATTTCTGTGTGGAGTTTGCATATTCTCCCCCAGGGCTCCGGTTTCCCCCACAGTAAAAACTGCATAGACATGTGCTATAAGTAAATTGCATGAACTAAATTGGCCATTGTGTATGAGTAAATATGAGTGTGTATGGGTGTTTCCCAATGCTGGGTTGCGGCTGGCAGGGCATCTGCTGTGTAAAACATATCCTGGAATTGTTAATGGTTCATTCCACTGTGGTGACCCCTGATAAAGAAGGGACTAAGCTGAAAGAAAATGAATGAATACTTGATATTTTAATTTACTTTAGAGCCAGTGACAGTCATTGACATATTAATGAATTTTATTCTCTTGACATGTTGTTTCTTTGACATAAACTACACTGAAAATTGTAATATAGAAATAAACATAAAATAAATGACTTGATTTATAGTTTCACTCACATTATGCATCTTATTTTATTATTATGAATTTAAACTCATAAAGTGTAAGTGCTCACTTTATTGTTAAAAGTTTTTCAAAACTCAATGAGACAAATACAGGCAGTGCATTTATACATTTTCCCTAATTATTGTCACACACATTAACACAAATGCCCATTCATGCATAGAATTTTTATTTATTTTTTTTGCTCATCTCATTAATGGTTTGATCCCATCATGCGCATGCACTTGTTCTGTTTCTGCTCCTTCATGTGTAATTACTGTTAAAACTGAGGAATTCTAATTAGTACTCGTTCTCTTCCAAATGCTCTACGCTTGGCCTTGTTAAGCCATCAAACAATGACTGATGTTTAATATTGCTCATTGTGTGCAAAAATAGTCTGATGGGGACCTGAGCGTCGGCGTTTGGTGGTTTCTGCTGGGTCATAAGGCACAGTGAGAAACAGTGAGTCAGATTGAAGCTGTTGCACAATAAACTAAATACTGAACAGCAATTGCATAAAAGGAGAGCAGGGGTCAAACACTTCTCTCTCTTCAGACCCTTCATTCAGTTGAGTGGTTGAGGAAACCGAAGGGTTTGCTGGTGGAGTTGTTTGATCTTGGTTGTGCTTCAGTTTGCAGATGTTTATGTGTGGTCAGGGTCTCGGTTTAATGAAGGTCATGTCCCTCGAGTCGCCTGTTTATGCCATAAGATGAGCTGTTGTAGCCATAGGTCACCAGGGCTTTTGGGAAATATGTGTTTTCTCTAAAGACGTAGTGTAAAGGTTGTGTACGGTTTTCAGAAGCTTAAATATCACATGGTTCCTTGAAATCTGAATGAATTGTTGGCATGACTAATGATAAATAGACATCTGTAAATATTGTGTATTTGTGTGTGTGTGTGTGTGTGTCTCTCCAGGAGAGGAGAAGAGAGTTTGAAGCCAACCTAGAGAAAGCTGGTCTCGAGCTGGAGACTGAAGATAAATCGGTGAAGTTTTGAGCTATTTTGTTCTATCTATCTATCTATCTATCTATCTATCTATCTATCTATCTATCTATCTATCTATCTATCTATCTATCTATCTATCTATCTATCTATCTATCTATCTATCTATCTATCTATCTATCTATCTATCTATCTATCTATCTATCTATCTATCTATCTATCTATCTATCTATCGATGTAAAAGTGAAGTATTTAAGTTTTGATGCATAAATAATCCTGTTAAACATTTTAATAAACACACAACACATCACTTCACTCATAAATGTCTCCTCCTACAGGAGTCAGATGATCGTAAGACACATTATCTGAAGATTCACGCTCCATGGGAGGTGTTGGCCACTTACGCTGATGTACTAAAGATTAAAGTGCCCTTTAAAGTGAGCGACATCCCCAAAGCTCGAGAGGTTCCTCTGGAGTGGCTCAGTCACCCTTTCCGGCTGCCAGAAAACATCATGAGGCCCGAGCCGGACTACTTCACTGCACCCTTTGACAAGAGCAAGGTGGACTTCTTCCTCATTGATGATAAAGACACCTTTTTCCCACCTTCCACACGCAACAGGATTGTGTACTACATCCTGACTCGCTGCCCATACTACAAAGAAGACCGAAAAGAGAAGGATAAGACTGGGATTAATCGGCTGTTGAATAACGGCACATACACCTCTGCTTATCCGCTTCATGATGTGAGTGTGAGATTTATTATACGCTTTGTTGTCGTGCTTTGATTGTAAGCTCTCGTTTTAATTTTAATGTGACAGTACAGTTCTATTCATTTGAACGTTGTCTAGGGCAGATGTGTCTTTTATTAAAGATGCTGAATGTAAGTTTTTGACTCTTCTGAAGCATAAACATACTATAATATGTTTGCAGATGTTTAAGAAACATGCCAAGTGAACATACTTGTTTATCTGAAAAACAATGCTGAAGTCAGCTATTCTGCTTTGAAAATGTGTTTTCCGTGCCGGAACGCTGTCTTTGCTTTGGTTATTTTAACCCGCCCACTGTCAGTTTAGCCAATTATATTTCAGCACCCCAGGTTGCCTTGGTAGAAAACCACATATTTCATTCATTCATTTAGAAAGGCGCTGAAAGCATGCGCTCATGACCGAAACGCAACCTCCAGTAGACAGTAGCAGACTCTGAAATGAGATGCAGATTCAGTTTCACATGAGGCTATTAATTAGCAAATCATATAAACGTAATGAACGTAAAAGGTTGGTTAGCAGTTTACATTATAACATGCTTCGTGACCATAGACTGTAAAGTATATGGACGTAGTATCCGTGACGTCACCCATAGGTTTCTGAAGAGCGCAAAAGAAGCCACAAGTAGGCGCGGCCAACCATCGCCATTTTGTTTGCGCGTCATCACACTCACGGCGGGATACCAAACAAGCGCAAAGAGGCAGAGAGTGAGTGGAGCTACAGACACCTGCTGGCATTTTGCTTGGACCTGTTCCAGACACATTTTACTTTGGGAAAGCGCTTAATACTTTATCACCTGCGACATTTGTATGCGTATCAAGCGCAGCATGAGATGTGCATATTAATGATCTCAGATCTTTTTTTATGATCGCAGAACTTGATGACATGGCTGCTCGTCAGGTCCTGATAAACGACCCAAATTAGGCATACATGCAAATGCGGGGGGCATAGCCAGTGAGTCTCGTCACAGTTTGTTTTGTCTAAACTGTTTAAACTTTGTGGTGTCTGAGGCTCACAGTATGCCCATATCCATACTGATATTTTATTATTCTACTATGCCTTGGTATACCCAGATTTTCATTATAGGGCACCTTTAAAACGGACATGGGGATTTATGCTTATTTGCATAACTATTATTCAAAACCACAGAAAAGTCATACTAAGGCCCAATACCAATTCTAGTCCTTAGACCTTTCCCTTACCGATTGTTTTGCGCGTGCACACCAAGGGGTAGGGGTATCCCAATTCTCTTTAGCTTGAAGGCATAGGGCTAAGGGGAAGTGGTAATTACCCCTTCGAATGAACATTTTTCAGGACCACAGTCGAAATCAAGGGGTAAGAAAATTTCCCAGAATACACCAGAATACAACGGCAGAATCACTGTGCTCAGAAGGAAGGAGATCTACAAATTAGTATTTTTGTCATTATTACGAATTTTTACAACAATATATAATAAATCATAAAATATAATAATTAAATGTATTCACAACCGCATTCATGTTTTACTGTCTTGCTTTGAAAAAAAAACATCTAAAATCCATAGTCATAACTCGATATTCGCTCGATATTCGAATACCCTTAGTAATATGCTTAGTGTAATGTAGCTCTATGTGAATGCAAAAGGTCTGCAAAGTTTTAAAATCCACATGAACTGGAAGCTGTGACTATTTTGTTTGTATTGTGATGCAGTTCCTAGAGAAATCAATAGTAAATTAGAAAACAGTGGGCGTGGCTTGTTTTTCTACTATGTAGGGTTTAAGAAGAGTTGTTACAACCTAACAAACACCTCCTCTTCCTCACCATTGCTGTTTGTTGTCAAAACTAACAGTTGAAGGGGCGTGGTTAAGTTTGTTAGCCATGCCCAATACCTAAGACAAAAGTAATCTGACAATTTAACAAAAAAAAAGAATTCAATAAAAGATTAGAAGGGCAAACCGTTTCTTCATTACATGCACTGATGAATCGTTTGCTATAAAACTAGCAATGTGAGCTGACAAAATCATAGTTAATTTTAATTTCATTTGTACTTTAAAGATCATAGTGCACGTCACACTGAGGTTTTGCCTTCAAAAGGAAGCAATCAATTTTGAAATGCTGAAATGAGTTTTTGCTTGTCAGCAGTTTCAGTTCTTTAACTAAATTATGTAAAGACTTGCCAGTCAATTCTCTTCGTTGCCTAACATTGGTCATCTACTGGCTTCTAAAACAAAAGAACAGTTTTAAAAAAGGAGGGGTTTAGAAGGATAATACATTCCTGAACAAAGTATTTTGTCTTGATGCTTGTAAAAACCTAAATAAAAGGCCCTTTTAAAATAAAGTAACACACTACTTACACTTATTAAACTCTTATCTAACACTGCTAAGCTGTATCTGTATCTACTAAGAATATCTTTGGTCCTCATCTGAGTGCTGTTTTGTTCTTCAGTGTCGGTATTGGAAGAAGGCTCAGGACATGCAGTGTGAGAGTGAAAGGTATCATCTGTATCGCTATTGGGCTCGATTCCTCTGCTTCTACAAAGAGCAGCCACTCAATCTGATCAAGTAAGGGCACTTCAGACTGTCTGAATGTGTGCATGACCACCTGACAGGCCAGAAGCAGATGCATTATTACATTGTGCATTGCAAGATTGCATTTTACTAGAAGCAAAGCCATTAAGCTCACTTTTCTGGTGCAGAACCATGATGTTTCTTTTCCTGTTTGCATTTCATCATAGGAAGTACTACGGTGAGAAGATCGGTATCTACTTCGCCTGGCTGGGCTTTTACACAGAGATGCTGTTTTATGCTGCAGTCATGGGTGTCATCTGTTTTGTTTATGGTGTCCTCAGTTACGAAGACAACATCACAAGGTTAGTGGCACTGATATGCGTCAAATGAACGCACATCTTTACCTGAGCCACCATTATACTGTTTAGTTACATGCATATTTAATTGCCCAATTCCATTTGTAAATTTTTTTTATATGCATACTCGAACAAACAATATATTTAGTTGACAGTGTGCCCGAATACATGTGAAAAAGTATGAAAATGATGGTGCTATCACTGGAACTGCATTGTTTGGTACAAGTCATACCTATCGAAATGTTGGCAAATTGTCTCAGAAAATGAAAAGGCATGATAGCAGTCAAGAGTACACTCTGGGGTACTGCAAGTTTCAGTTTTTGGTCCCTTGATTTTTACATTACATGTGCTACTGCTAGGCGATATTGTGTCGAAAATGTGTTTTTTTTACCCTTTTGCTTATATAATTTGTATGTATTAACAAAATTAATAGATTGCATAGATGGTATTAATAATACTGGAAAGTATTATTGGATATTAAAGGGCCATGAAACACACTGATGCAGGGGAAAAAGACTGTTTACAAGGACATCAGTAATCAAATTATTTACCAATTTATTAAATTGTCAACTTTAATAGCAGTTTGGCACTTTCCCTTTCCTTCAGGAACATTTCATGCATGCCCCAGTGACAAATGAGATTTTGGATGCGAGGAACTGCTGGAAGAGTGTAGTTTTAATGGAATGTTTAATACTACACGGCAAATGGGAGAAAAAACCCTCTGCATTTCTCTGTAACTTAGATGCACTCGGTAGAAATAGAAAGCCGCGTGTGTTTAGACTATCCTGTCACAAAATGCGGTGAAAATCCTACAAGAGGCAATTGTTTGATTAAGGTGTTTATATTTGGAGAGCAGCATTTACAGCTGATCTTTTAGCCCATAATATTGAAGTGATATCAACGTACTGTTAACTTGGTAACTAAATCATTATGAGTAAGGTATGTCTTTAAAAACTGAAAGAGTACTGATGACGATAAAAACTGGCTTTGCCATCTAAATAAACATCAACAAAGAACATTGATCACACACCTACCAAATCTGTAGAGACAGGACAATCAACACCAATCAACACTCCTCTTTTAAAACAAGAGGAGTGGCAAATCTGGATTCGAAGATGTGAAAAGCTCTTGGGTAAAAATGTTACAAACATATTTGTGTCGACGTTATTTTACTACACTTTTAGAAGTTTAAAACAATATATGGGACATTCTACAAGAAACATAAATTATTTTCACTTATAAAAAACGTGACAGGGCCTGACTTAAGCTTGTCATCCTTAAAAACAATTATACAAAAACAAGCATAAAATCATACAATTCAGTAATAGAACAGTCCTTGATCAGTGTAAGCTTCTCCTCCGTCAAATGATGTCACTTACGAGTCATAGACTTAAACGTGCAATGACAGAAACAGGAGGGCAATTGTAATTTTTTTTTGTATTTTTTTGTAGAATTTATTTATAATCTGATGTTTTTAAATAACGATAACAACGTAAACTTGCTAAAAGTTTTTTCCTTAACAGTTTTTAGCATAACAAAACTATTAAAGCTGTAATTAGTTTTGGTTTGTACATTTGAACATCATCTGAGAACCAAATGAATGCCGTATTGCTTTACAGAACAACTCCCAGAAATCAACAATCAGTCCATTTTAGAAATTTTTGGCATGAAATACTTTTTATTCATTGCATTTATGTATTTCAGGGACAGATCGTGTACATTTCTGGTAGAATGTCCTATATTGAATGTTAAAGAAATGTTGTAGAAATAATATGCAGCAGCGATCATTGTCTCATAACTTAATTTAAAAGTGAAGGCATGAACTCTAGAGGCCTCTTGATATTTTTGTTGGTTTTTCCCTATAGCTCTCACTAATGATTGTTTTGGATCATGCTTAACAGTAGTTGATTTGTTCCAAATTCTCCATGGTGTCTTTGCACTGTTTTTTTTCCCCAGCATGCATAATGAAGATCTGTTGATATTCCCTTCTGCAACATTTCTCCCCTGTCACTTTTTCTCTTTGTGTTTTCAGTAAGGAAATCTGTGACCCAAAAATAGGAGGCATGATTGTCATGTGTCCGCTCTGTGACAAAAAGTGCAGCTACTGGAAACTCAACTCAACATGTCTGTCCTCCTGGGTGAAAACAAGCACTGTTTAAATTGTAAATAACTATTTATTAATCGTATACAGTTTCCTAATTTCTGATCCCTTTTTTTTCTTAGCAATCCCATCTCTTTGATAATGAAGGAACTGTGTTTTTTGCCATGTTCATGGGCATTTGGGGTGAGTATACTGCCTTTTTTTTCTAGCTTAGTAGCGCCATCTAGTGCATGGCTGGACATTTGTAGTAGCCCCACTCAGAATCTAATGAGAATGAGATCATAATAGCCATGCATGAAGCATTTTAGCGTATTCTTAATGTCAAATAATTGGCCACAGGATTTGTTCACTATATAAATCTACAATAGAGGAGCATAATTTGTGTATGCTTTTTGAAAATGAAATCTGTAATGACTAATGATGCTCACTGATTATCCATTACTGAACACTGAATTAATTTCTCACATGGCTCAAAATGAGCTCTGCTTATGCAGGGATTTGATTAATCAGCACTGTGGATATTCTTTTATCCAGTGTCCTCATTAATTAAAACTGTTTATGTTGCTGCTGAATCTTTGGACTTGAGTACTGTAATGTTAATGAAAGAAAAACAGAGTGTGACTGAAGAGATAAACCTGGTTGGATTTGAATAGAACTAATATTTAGGGTTTGTTCACGCAAAGCAGACCAAAAACATTTAAACAAAACAACACCATGATAGGATGTGGCCTTCAAAGGAGATAATGCTTAAACACACTTATTTTTTCACTTACTAGCTGCAGCATTGCTCATTCCAGTGAATACAGCATTAGTTATGCATTTTCGTACAGCAATTTTGCCTCAAGTTCTCACCTAATAAAAACCAAGATAAAGCTTCTATTATTTTTGTATTAAACATTTTGTCTTAAATATTGTCTTAAATATTAGGTTGATATAACTATACCTATTTTTGACCATCTCCACCTCCCGAAACATACATTCAGCTTTGATTATCATGGAATAATTAAGTCTTTTTTTTAATCTGTATTGTTTGTAATTGCAGTATTAAAAAGGGAGTTTGATAGCACTGATAGAAAAAGCTTGTTGTGATATAACTTCATCTTGAAGACACTGAGGCATGTCATATTTTTCCTCATTAATTTGGACAATGTTTACACAAATAGCTGTAGTCTGTTACTGTGAAATTTCATTTGAATTGTTTGTTCACTTTTAAAAACCAATAATATGATAAATCCATGCAATTCTGTTTTATACATCCCATGTGGTATCTGATTTGAGGTTAGCATTTTGAGCTAAATAAAAATGTTTGAACAATAATTTAAGCAATGATTAGTAGCAGGAACACATGTTACCCCACACAATTAAGAATTTTACATCATCTTACATTTAATAATGGATTCAATTTACTGTAAATCATACATTTGTTGTATATTATTCAAGGAAAATGAATGGAAAATGCTCAATGCACCAGCAAGTCTGGCCTAAACGGCACATGCTGGCATGCAGTGAGTTCATTTATCACAAAGATGTGTTTTGGATGTAGCTTTTTTGGAAGTCCTGCCTAAAAAATAAAATAAACATTACATAAAACCCATTGTTTCTTTTTTTTTCTTATAAACAAAAAGGCGGCTACACCAAAGCTGCAAAACATACCAATTTATTTAGTTAAAAAGGCTGACACAAAGCGTGTAATGTTTTGAGCACACTGGCTCTTCATCAGACAGTGTTCATCACAGCATGTTGCTCTTTTTAGACACTTTCGGATCACATGATCTCATATATAATTTAACAAGAGAAAAGAAATAATGCACATTATAAAAATAGAAAAATACATCATTTTGAACTTATACAAAATGAAAATACAAAAACAAATCTTAAATCATTCTCTTGTCGGCTTAGTCCCTTTATTAATCCGGGGTCGCCACAGCGGAATAAACCGCCAACTTATCCAGCAAGTTTTTACGCAGCAGATGCCCTTCCAGACGCAACCCATCTCTGGGAAACATCCACACACACTCATTCACAGACACACACTCATACATTATGGACAATTTAGCCTACCCAATTCAACTGTACCGCATGTCTTTGGACTGTGGGGGAAACCGGAGCGCCCAGAGGAAACCAACGTGAACACAGGGAGAACATGCAAACTTCACACAGAAACGCCAACTGAGCCGAGGCTCGAACCAGCAACCCAGCGACCTTCTTGCTGTGAGGCGAACGTGCTACCCACTGCGCCACTGCGTCGTCAAAATCTTAATAATGTATACCAAATATAAAATAAACATAACAGAATATAATGTAAAAAAGAAACAAATTATAGCTAAAAATCCTATACCCAAACAACTGAGTAAACGTTAAAGAAAAGGATGAATGATAAACTCCACATTTAAACCTCTTGGAGACAACGCAAGGCTTCAATTTATTGCTGTTACAACTGTTGCTGTTACCCCTGACGTGGACACTTGCCTTCAGTTCCTATATATTGTAGAGTGGAGACGGCGGGCCTCATAACTGAAAAATTTAGCACAATGATGTTCAGAAATACAAATTTTTAAAGGCCAACGTACCATAAACCACATGGTTACTGCAACATATAGATTGCATTAACTGTCATGCACGATATGTGTAAAAATTGACGTTTTATACGTGAAATTGCATTGTTGACAATTGCCACATTTAAAATTCCCATTTGGTTTATTATTTGAAAAATGCGGAGCGTGTTTCAGATCAGCTCTTGTTATGGATATTAGATGTTCTTTTGTGTAAGACAAGGTGAATTTTTTAAACATTCCTCCCTTCTTCCCCTTCCCTTGATACAATTTTTTTCTTGTTTTCTGTTTTACTCCTGATCAAACAAACCAATATGTTTTACTACTAAATTCATTTTCATTTATTTATGTGCCTTTCTGTGTCTGTTTGCTTTACAGTGACCCTCTTTCTGGAGTTCTGGAAGCGACGGCAGGCCCGTCTGGAGTATGAGTGGGACCTTGTGGATTTTGAGGAGGAGCAGCAGCAGCTCCAGATCAGGCCAGAGTATGAGCAGAAGTGCACAGGCCGCAGACTCAACCGCATCACACAGGTACAATAATAATAACAATAATTGTCTTCAAAAAACACATCTTAAAGCAGGGGTGTTCTTTATATCTCCATCCCAGGCCGCAGACGTTCAAACTATTGATTTATTTTAATTTTTTTTATTAGAAATTGTGATAAATTTCCATCTGGGCAGCAGCAGTATATTTTTTTAACTTTTAAATGACATGAGAGCCAAAGCAGTGAAGTCTAACAATTTTATAAGAAAGTGAAATGTTTCATACATTGAGCCAAGCTGGATCTAAATATAAAAAGATAGGAACTGATTTTTCCTCATGCTAATATTATTATTTTTACATTTAGGAACAGCAGAAGGTCATGAGTTGCTGGGTTTTACTATTTTGTGTAATTTATTTTATTTTATTTTTTTTTTTAGATTTGCTTAAAATAGGTAATCTCATCTAAAACAAACAACATATACTTAGACACCATCATAAGCAGAAAATCAAGTTAACGGCAACAATTTACAATTCGGAACATGCAATTAATGTTAGTCAAAAATTATTATTCTTTTCTAAAATGCATTATTTCCTTGTGTGTTTTTAGCAGTATAAATATTACATTAATGAATGCTTTAGTTAATTAAAAACACTGTGGTTGAATGAGAATTTGAGATATCCATATTAGGAGTTGATAATTAATCAACATGGAATGAAAACCAACAAATCAATAGTCAAAAAAGCTAAAGATCTACATACTTTAAAGCAGGGGTTCCCAAACTTTTCAGCCTGATGCTCCCAAAATAATGATGCCAGTGACTCGCGACTGCCAATACCCTTTAAAGTGGTTATAAGTATACAAACTTTGCACACAACACACACCTATAGGCCCAAGTTTATTCATAATTCAATTTTGAAGAACGCCACTTGAAGACCATCCTCCATGTTCAGTTGTGGCCTGTATTTTTATGTACGTGAGTGCCGTAAATGTCTCAGAATGTTTAACCTGGTGTCAATCTGCTGTGTCTTTTTTCAAGCGTAATCACCCTATGGGGTCGCAAAAAACTGGAAAGGCGGATGGCTTTTTATTTGCTGGTTGTTATTATAATTTTTTTTTGTGAACAATTGTTTTTATTATTTCAGTTTTTGTTTAATATAGAAATCATAAAGCGTATGACTATATCGTAAAACAACCCCGAATCCCCACCCCCCACCCATATAGACTTATTCTATGATAACAGAAGTTAAAAGATTGCTGTGTTTATAAAAAAATTTTTAAATAAATAAAATAAAAAGACTACTGTTGAGCCAAATACAGAGTAGAAGTTAGGTAAGTACAAATAAACAACTATTACATCATGAGATATGCAACATGCATATAAACAGAAAAGCTGTACATTAGAAGGAAGAAACAAAGGATTTGACGATATCAGAAGCTAAAATCCAGGACTAAACCTTATTTGACTGAGATCCATGTATGCGTGCTGTTGAAAGTTCCATACAATTAATGTCCAGCAAAGATAGGCCCCATTGACGTCGACTCATAATATGAGGAGGGATCCAGCGGCAGTCCATTTTCTTAGCAGCTGTGAATGCAGCTTAGAGTAAGTTCTTTTGTTGCATTGAGAGTGAAGTTAGAAAAATTGTTCAGGACAAAAGCATACTGCAGTCAGTTCTACATCTTTTCCTAACAAAAATAAAGTGTCATGAGGCAGCTGAGACCAAAAAGAGTGAAGTGCAGGACACATTTTGTTTTTTTAATTTAAGTATGAACTACTTTTTAAAATTTTTATTCTTCTGTAGGTTATGTATAAAATTCTAATAGTTTAATAAAGTAAATTTTATATTTGGAAATTTCCAAGCGACCCCCATTTTGGTAACCACTGCTTCAAAGTACTGCTTTCTGCACTGATTTTAAGCATATAGCTTTTTCAGATTTAAGACATGTGCAGATAACACAGTTTTACAGAGCTGTAATCACATGATGATTTGTGACTGAAAATCGGCCTGATACACAGTATGTCATTTGCATTGTCTGAGTAAATATTTGCATATGGCTTCTGCTCGAACTGGTTTTGGCCACATCATTTAACACATCAGCATAACGCCGACTCCCAAGTCTTCTGCTGTGAAATCAGCTATTTGAGTTACTGCTCCATGCCTCACATGCTGTTCACAAATGCTCAGAGTAAAATGAGAATTATAGTCGGCGCCAGTGGTGTAGTGGTTAGTGCGTCGACACATGCACTCCGGTGCTCGCGGCGACCCGGGTTCGATTCCGCCTCGCGGTCCTATGCCGATCCTTCCCCTCTCTCTGCTCCCCATGCTTTCCTGTCTATTCTCTACTGTCCTTTCAAAAATAAAGGTGAAAAACCCCCAAAAAATAATTATAAAAAAAAAAAGAGAATTATGAGAGATTTGTTTCTTAAGTATTCAAAACGATACATATTCTGTTTTAAAAAGTGTTTTTAAATCTCTTATGCTTATCAAGGCTACTTTTATGTAATTTAGAGAACTGTACAAAAGCATGCAGATCCCTCTTAACTGGGTGCTCAGCCGAAAAAACACAAGGTGCAAATTAAATACTCATCAATGGCTCGAAACGTTACACGCTTTGTGTCAGCTTTTTTAATTTAATAAATTTGTATTTTTGAAGCTTTGGCGTTGCCGCCATTGAACATTTAATTTACTTTTATGTAGTTAAAATAAATATTACAGTTTAAATGACCATTTATTGGTTTAATATTTACAATTATAATTTATTCCAGTGAAAGATGCCATTCATTCATATTTTAATTAATTAATAATTAATTCAGAGCACGGATTAAGGTGCTGAAGAAACAGTGTTGAAATTGGTTGTGCTGATTGAAATTTGTATGTGGCTGAGCTGTTATATTTGAGGATTGTGAAGAATGGTGAGATCAAAAGACCAACATTTGTTTATTTCATAAAATAATGCAACATGCATGCAACAAATATAATTTTTTGACCATCTTAATGCAATTAATGCTAAATAAAAACACACTTTAAAGTTTACCAACCACAAGTGTTTCAAGTGATGTGCATGTCACGTCTGAGATGTTGATTATCATTGTAGTTTTGATCATCTGAGGACTTGTTTTCTACTGTACTCAAGCATCTGGTCTAATTGTGAAACTTCAACTGCTGATATTCCCTTTATGCTTACAGGAAATGGAACCTTATCTTCCTTTCCCCAGCAAATGTGCTCGATTCTGCCTATCTGGAGCAACTGTACTCTTCTGGGTGAGTTCACAAGCTAACAGTGGATATCAGTCATTATTACGGAGCTCTTTGGGTTACTTAATTCCGATTGGTCGCAACTTTGAATGATGCCCATTAAACTTAATATTTGACTCGAGTACACTGTAAAAACTGCTGGGTTCCACACAATTCCTTCATGTTATCAACACACAAATCAATTAAGTTAACCTAATCTTTCTTACAATTTTAAGTGGATTGAACATAATTAAATTGTCCCCAAAACTAACTTAAAAACTGTGTTGTTCCAAGTCATTTATTGAGTGTAATTCCCTGCACTGCTCTAGCATTTAGATGAAAACTGAGCGCATTTAAAACTTTTAAAACCTGACTTGAGCGCATTTAAAACCTGACTTGTTTTTGTGTTTGGTCAGACGTGTCTCATAGTGGCCTGCATAATGGGAGTGATCGCCTACAGATTAGCGGTGTATGCAGCGTTCGCCAGCGTCATGAAAGACAGTTCCACCAGTAAGATCCAGCTGGTTGGGTCACTCATCACCCCTCAGCTGGCCACTTCCGTTACTGCTTCCTGCATCAACTTCGTCATTATCCTCATCCTCAATTTCCTCTATGAGCATGTGGCTATCTGGATCACTGACATGGGTGAGACAAAACCGCATCCTCTTTTCACATGAAATAAGATATGGGTAAACTACAGTATTTTTTGATTTCCCCTTTTAGACACTATCTTGACTTGAACAATCCTGTTGATATCTATTGTTAGACGTCTGTTTGATTTTCACTGACAGCCCAAATTGAGTTTGTTTTAGTTAAGTCTGTCTATGTTTAGATGTTACTGATGTACTTATCCTGCATTACTTAATCTAGGTTGATGGGATATTTCACCCAAAAATTACAATTTACTCCCCCTTAAGTGGTTCTAAACCAGGGGTGTCAAACTCATTTTAGCTCAGGGGTCACATGGAGGAAAATCTGTATCTGCAATTAAAGCTAACAGGTGCTAACGTTGTCTTAAATGAAGCTCAACACATCATGATGCATTTTTTGAAAAATATCAGAGATAGCCTCCTAGGGCTTGAGGGTCCACATACGTGGACAGCACATTTTAGCACTTAAGTGGCTATTTAAAATAATTTGAATGTTTTAAATTTTGTTACTGATATACAGTGTCATCCTGCAACTGTTTTGCAGCATATGAAATGTCCCAAACACTATTTTTAACTGTCCAAAATCTGAAACAAATGTTGCTTTTACTCTCTGATAGTCAAAGCAAGTAAAAAAAGGTATGTTAAATATGCATTAAAAAACTGTCAGAAAATATTTTTTTATGTAAATTCGGACCACAAATCCACATAAATGGACATCACTTTTCTCTAAAAGTACATCGCATCAAAGTATGATACTTAGGTTTTTATTCTAATTAGGTCCCAATAAGCCCAAATAGCAAAGATAAATAAAAAATGCATGTTAAAAACACCTTGGGAATTAAGAGGATAAACCTGAACTGAAAGAGGGATGTTTCATGACCCTTTAAAGGGGTAGATTGCAAAAAAAAAATACATTTATTCTCCCTCAAGTGTTTCCAAACCCTTATGAATTTCTTAACACTGTTGAACACAAAAGATGTTCTTAAGAAAGCTGAAAACCTGTAACCACTGAATTCAATAGTAGGAAAATTTTGTGTGATTCAAACATTTAGAAACGAAACTTATGAGAAAGTTGTTGTTTAATTTTATTGATGAATTCTAAAATGAAATTCAATTATAAGCTTGGCAAGCAGTTTTTGAGAATTTGCTGTTTCCCCATTCAGACAGAATGCCCGAGTATACTGCCCTAGAGGCATTTCAAAGATGGCTGAGTGAAATGACTTGTCTTAAATGGACTTCGCTACTGTGGAGCTGTTGAAGCAGTAGAACTGACAAACAGATTCTGCATCGGTTCTGAGATTTGAAAAATGGCAGAGGATAGCTATATGTAAAGAACACATCATCCTTACAAATACCACTTAAATCTTAAAATAATCATTAATAAAGCTAGAAAAGGTTTAAGCAATCCACGACTGTTCATATGAACCGTGTTCACATAAATCTCTTGACAAAATCTATCTTTAAATGACTTCATGATCATTTGAGAGCACTGTGAAAAACCGGCCTAGCGCCATCTGCTGGTAAAACTAAGCGATGCATTTTGAAATTCTCCGGAATCGATTTCTAGGCGCCACGGTGGCTCAGTGGTTAAAACTGTTGCCTCACAGCAAGAAGGTCGCTGGTTCAAGTCCTGGCCTTGACTAAGGGACTAAGCTGAAGGAGAATGGATAAATCCATTTCTCAAATGATTTGTTTTGCCTAAGCTCTATTTAATAGTGGCTTTCAATTTCATCACAGACACAATCAATGTGGGTGTCTAGTGCACATTGGACAGGTGTTTTTGAATGGATACAAATGGAGGAGGGACTTGAGAATAAAATGATGATTAACGTCATTATTTTTTAAATATTTTTGTATTGTTTTGAGTCCTCCACTTTTTCATATTATGTCTCTGAAAATGTATGTGCAATCTCTAAGTTTAGTTAGTCATTATTATTACTAAAGAACACTGGGTGCTTTTTTTAATATAACTGACTGTACATTCCCCCCTGACATGTTTATCTTAAACAGTATGAAAAACATTTGCCATTATCTCTCATCTATTTTTAACCCTCAGAAATCCCCAAGACCCATCTGGAGTATGAGAACAAGCTGACCATGAAGATGTTCATGTTCCAGTTTGTGAACTACTACTCTTCCTGTTTCTATGTGGCCTTCTTTAAGGGAAAGTTTGTGGGTTATCCGGGAAACTACAGTTATATGTTTGGAAAGTGGAGCACTTTGAGAAATGAGGAGGTGAGACTCCATGAAATATTACTGTGCTTCACAACCTAATGTTCTTCAGCTGAATTTCACAATATTTTTTGACCTTGTATTTGTTAACTCTTCACTTTTTGAGGGAACCTTTTTTAAAGATTTGGATGTTTTTCATGTTTAGTGTGCTCCTGGAGGTTGTCTGATTGAGCTGACCACTCAGCTGCTTATTGTCATGGCTGGGAAACAAATGGTCGGGAACGTCCAAGAGGCTCTTTTGCCGTAAGCTTTACAATTTGACATCTATAATTGAGCTAGTGTCTGTTTTAATGCTTGAATATTTGGTTGCATGCATTTTAAGGAGGTCAGAATGTAGTTGTCCTCTAGACAGTTTTCAAATCCCATGTAACCGAGTGAGTAATGGTCCCTTGTGTCACAGACTTGTCCGAAACTGGTGGAGCAGCAGGAAAGGCCGCAGTCATCCAGAAAGCACGTATAGTAGATGGGAGCAGGACCATGACCTCCAGAACTTCAGCCAGTTTGGACTCTTCTATGAGTATCTGGAGATGGGTACGAGTTTACTCTGATATCCATTTTATTTTTTTGCGTTTCTTTTAAATAGTGAATAATAGTTTGTAGATTCACAAAATATATATTTTTTTTACAATACAGTACTCTTCAAAACCTACATTCATAAGTATTATTATTCCATAAAGTTTTGACATTCATTTTCTTTTCGGCTTAAGCCCTTTATTAATCTGGGGTCACCACAGCGGAATGAACCGCCAACCTATCCAGCAAATGTTATTGTTTTTTAGGCAGCGGATGCCCTTTCTAGCTGCAACCCACCACAAGGAAACACCCATACACACTTAATCACACACATACACTACGGCCAATTTAAATTTTAAATAAACATAGAAAAGAAAATAATCGCACTTGTACTCTGATGGGAATGAATTACATCTATAAATCTTTAATTTAGAACACAATTTGTATAGATTTATGGCTGGTTACGGATTTAAAGTAAAAAAAAAACATCATTGTATAATATGCTCTTTATAAGTACTAATAAACAGCCAATATCTTAATAATAGGCAGGTAATAAGCCATTAGTTAAAGGTGCAGTAAGTTTGACAGCCAGTGGTTGCACATCTGCTTCAAAACAAAATTGACGATGCCAGCAGGGGTCTGTTCTTCGTACCTCGCTTAAATGATCTAGGATGATTCAGCAAATCCTGGATCTTTTCATCTTGATAATTGATTTCTGGCTAATTTTGTTCTTTTAACAAGTTCGCGAATCAGATTAAAATGTCTAGATAAGGTGTGACCAACCCTGTTCCTGGAGATGGACCTTCCTGCAGATTTCAGTTGCAACCCATATCAAACACACCTGCCTGTAATTATCAAGTGGTGTTCAGGTTCTAATTAATTGGTTCAGGTGTGTTTGATCAGGGTTGGAGCTGAACTTTGCAGGAAGTTCGATCTCCAGGAACAGGGTTGAGCTCCACTGGTCTAGTTGAACTGATCTGAGATCGCTGCGCGTGTTGTGAAGGACAGATCTATTGATCCTCGAAATCATGATCAGCCATGCTACGATTGGGTGACAGCACAGCAGCGTAATGATAGCATCTGATAAATATTCAATTATCCATGTGAGCAAAATTACATAAAATTTGCAGTAAACGGTTTGTTAAATATGACACACAAATAACTTTTCACATTTGTTGTGAGCAGCAGGCTTTACACTTTCATGTGTCAAGTGTATTCATCATGTATTTCAATACATATCAGTGTATTTAGTTCTACATTTAGAGAAGATTTTCTTTATTATAGCAGCCTAGGTCTACACAAGTTTTTTTAATCGACGTAAGGAATAAATGGTAAATTAATTTTGCATCAAAAAAAGCATTTTGCTATCGGTAAAGGTGTCTGCAATTTTTTTGAAGCAATCAAAAACATGTGCATGACTGCATAAATTATTACCCTTTATTTATTTTTTATTTTTTTAAAGTCGAATATTGTGTATGAACGCGTTTATATCTAAAAAGTTCATATCAATATATTTTCTCTTTGAACCACCCGGTGGCAGTCTTTGTACTTTATTTCAGAGTGCCGATTGAGCAAGTTTTAATAATGTATCTTTGTAACTTTTTATTTATAGTTAAAAATATATATATTTACTATTTTACCAAGTGTATATAAATACTGTAAGAAAAATCAGCATTTGGTACCTACTTTCAGTATTATCTTTGCTTGAACTGACCCGATCCTGTTTATATGAAATGAACCTGCTCCCTAGCAGGTTTGAGCTACCAGAACTGTTGCTATGACAACAAGTCCCAGATGAGTTTTGAAGAACTAAACGATCCTGGATCATGTCAAATCGTCAATATCCGAATCCAGCTAATGGAGTAATCAATGTACAAAGAGCGGACCCCAGGTGTGTGCCTAGCTATCGAGCATAAAGGCTGATTTAAGTCGTGTTTTAAATAAATGCAATGACATGCAATACAAGGAATATTTTCCATACTAAAAGAAGTTTTTGTTTTAAACGAGACCTGAAATTTAGATTTTAGAATTGGCTTCTATTTCTTGCAGCTGAACAGCAGAAAACTGACAATGATCACCTCAGGTACACCTCATGTACTTAAATTCTAATAGTGCGAGTAAAAATGCTGTTTTACATGACAGTTATTGCCATAATGAAAGCAGATAGTTCACCTCACATTAATAAAATAAACCTCCTGAAATTTAACTTTAGAACTGTGGCTCAGGAACCAGGGGGGCCAAGTCGGAGCACTCACTCTGGTCCCCCTGGGCTTTGCGCTGGTTGGGGAAATTCCTAATTGAATTAAAACAAACCATTACAATTGACTTAAGATTGGCAAGCAAAACTCGGCACACTAACACATATCAGTGATGCAGCATGTACATGTAATAATGTTAGAGGTTTAATATGTATTAATTACATTATAAACCTTACAATTTTGTCGTATTGCAGTAAATGCACTATTCTGTTCTTCTGAATGGCTGCATTAAAATTTCTGTCATGTTTCTTCTGGTGCAAACAGCCAGATTGCTAATAACTGCTAATCTCATGACAGTATGTTGTTAGGACACAGGGTTACAATGTAGCTTGCTCTCCTAATGTTTACCTTCATAATATTTATATAGTTTGTTAATTAATAACCACCTTATGTGGAAGTCTGAATCCAAGTCTCGTTCAGCATAGTTTTTCAGATAGTAGGAATGTTCACTTAGCATGGTTCTTAAATATCTGCAAACATATTATGGTATTTTTATGCTTTAGAAGAGTCATAAACATTCATACAGCTCCTTTAAATAGAGAGAATTGGTACTTAACTCTTAAAATTAAACTAACTCTTAAATTAACTCTTAAAATATCTATAGTACCTTTCAAAAGTTTAATGTAACTAAAGCAAAGAAAAGCAATATAAAAAATGGATGATACATCCATAAAAGATCGTTATTATCTTAAAGCTCCTATAGATAAGTTGCAATGAATTTAAATATCTGGTTCTTCACATCCAAGAGGAGTTTCTCTGAGCATTTACTGGTCCTTCATCAATCATTTAAGACTCTTTATGTTTGATGTTTTCAACAGTGATCCAGTTTGGCTTCATAACACTTTTCGTGGCCTCCTTTCCACTGGCTCCTCTTCTTGCCCTCTTCAACAACATCCTGGAGGTGCGAGTGGATGCTTGGAAATTCACCACACAGTTCAGACGACCGATGGCAGCCAAAGCACGCAACATCGGAGCTTGGGAAGAGATCCTTAATGTGGTGGCCATCATGTCCGTGGTCACAAATGTAAGTGCATGATGTTTTTTCTTCTTCTCATTAGTTGTACTACCATGTGTAAAACAGAATGTGGCTGTTAAGTTTTTCATACTATATATATAGCAGAGGTGGAAGTGAGTCACACATGTGCAAGCCACAAGCAAGTATTGAGTCATAACCAGGGCCAGACGGAATCTGCGTACATTTTTTGCTATTTCTACGGAGAATTTTGGTAAAAATCTGCGGATTTCTGCGGAATTATTTTGGGAGTATCCAGCGGAGTATCATAACTAAAACCTTAATATATTAAATAAAAAGTAATAAATTACTGAATAAAAACTGAATAAATTCATATTTACTCATTTACTCTAGTAAATAAATAGAATTAATAATGGGCTAAAAATCTCCAGAAATCTGCGGAATTCTGCGGAAAATCTGTGGAATTCTGCACGCACAGATTCCGTGTGGGCCTAGTCATAACCTTCAAACCTCAAGTGAATTCTTGACAGACTCAAGTCAAGTCGAGTCACTGTTTATCTCAAGTCAAGTCAAACAGTAGCTTGGTCTAGCAAGTCACTTTCAAGTCAAAATCTTTTAACTTTTGCAATTTATAGTTACATATATAACTTTCGGTTTTGTATGTAATGCATAATATATAACAAAAAGGTATTTGTTTAACAAAAACAAGTTATTTCGAGTCTTTAACTCAAGTCCAAGGTTCAAGTCATGACAGTCAAGTCAAAGTTGAGTCTTTTTTTGAATAGTTGTCCAGCAAGTCTCAAGTCCTAAATTTTCCTCAAGTCCTAAAGTCATGTGACTCGAGACCCCCATCTCTGATATACAGTATACAGTTAAAGCCTCATGAAATCAAAATTAAAGAGATTTTTTTTATTTAATATCAATAAAACATAAGCTTCTAAAACTTGCAGTATCTCACTTCTGCCGATCTAAATCAAAAACTATTTTTCTGAAGTCACCTCAATCAAATATTCTCTAGTATCTGAAGTTGTCCTGCTCTCGACGACATTGCTACAGCTAAGATCTGTCATTCAGGGTTCACCTAAACTTATTAGAGAATAAATATTAGAGAATAAAATCTGCTGGTCACATTGTTGGTTTGAGCTCCATGTTTTTGTTGAATAATGCTATTGTATAATTAAATCAAGCAGTATTTCCACATTACTTAAACTGTTGTCATTTATTTTCCTCTTCTTTCTTATCATTACTTCAGGCCTTCATCATGGCGTTCACCTCAGATATGATCCCTCGTCTGGTCTATCTGTACGCTTATCACCCAGGCATTGAGGCCAATATGACCGGTTATATCACCAACAGCCTCTCGATTTACAACATCTCTCAGATCCCAGAAGATAACCTGCCTGAAGCTGGAGAAAACCCATCCTGGTTTAACAGCTCCACCATCACCACATGCAGGTGTGTGAGAGCTGCAGTTTGTGGTAGACTTGCACATCTATATACTAATTAAACAGCATGATGAATGTGTTTTTATGGCAGGTATCGGGACTACAGATACCCACCTGGCCATCTGAGGCAGTACACACACACCATGCAGTTCTGGCACATCCTGGCTGCTAAGCTCGCCTTCATCATTATTATGGAAGTAAGCATAATCCAAAGCACTTCTTTTCGCACCAGTAGATCGCTTGGTTTGTTCTGAAGCAGAGATTTAAAATTTTACAATGTGTCCATTTGTTCTTAGTTTGGTTTGATTTTATAAGGTAACATTTCTAAAAGGACCCAGATGGGATAAAACGGGTCACGTGAGTAAATTGAACAATCTCATTGGTCAGAAGTATTGCCAGATTGGACGGTTTTGAACTTGATTTTGCGGGTAAAAAATGGCATTGGCGGGTTGAAAAAATTTGGCCGGTTTTAAAATGTAGATGTTATATGCAACTTATTTAACAAAACACAACTGTGTGCTCCTACTCCATTGAGTTAGTAGTAGAGTTGGGTATTGTTTTTTTTGTTTGTTTTTTTGGATACCGGTGATAAATCATTACTTTTTAGCCACAAAATTAATCGACCAAAAAAAAAAATTATATACATATCATTATATTATATTTATATTACATTTATATTATCATTATAATTGAACAATAAAAATATATATTTATAATATGTTTAAAGTAAACATCAATTCATATTTTATATATTAGAATTTATTATATATTAGAATTATATTAATATATTTCTTTTAATCATTTGTTTGTTAGCATGAATGCAAGATTTGCATCATGCTATTAACATTACATTAGCTTACTAACCTGTGGAAAGGCTGTCATCAAAATCAGGCAACACATTTTTTTCTGGGTTTGGGGCTTGTGACTACTTTTTCATGGACATCAGTGATCTAATGATTGGCCTTAATCTGAATAAGACAATAATATGATGTAGGTGTTTACATAAGTTGCTTTTTGAATGTTACATTCCTGATTCCCAGTTACATATTATAGCACATAGATCCAGAGTCCACTACAGAGTAGATTTCGGTACCCAACCCTAGTTAGTAGTGATCAGTGCATAGCGCAAACCGCTTGGGAGGTGAAGGAAAGTTTTATCAAAATCTGACTCCCCTGACAAATCAAGAAATCTGACTCCCATTCGTGTGCATGCGCATCATACAGTGCCTGCAGTTAAACTTGCATTAGTATATCATGACACCCATCTATCATTTTTCCGCAGTTGACAGCAAGAACAAAAAAAAGTGTTGTCTTATTGACAAGCAGCACATAATCATGTTCAAATGAATTTAAAATGCCAAATGGGACAAATACATGCAAAAACATACTCTAATAGGTTGTGTAATCTTCACAGCAATAAGTGGTGTTTGGGTGAAAGGTGGCAGTGTTTTGATGTGGTCCGGTTGTGGTTCTGTGACTGCTGGTGTTGGTTAAATTATGACAGTTAAAGTAACTAGGTTAATTTTGATTTAATAAATTAAAATTAAATAAAATATTAATCTCATATTTTGGGAATTGTTGTGTGTTTGGGCTGGTTTTGGACAGCTTTTGGGCTGGAAAAAGTCAGCTATATCTGGCAACACTGTTGGTCAGTAAGAACTTGTTTATATACCTGGTTGCAGGGCAAGTTTTAAGTTGATGAATCCAAACTGGTTCAATAAATCCAAATCCATCCATTTTCAATGGCTTATCTTGGGCTGGGTCACAGGGCTGCTGTCTCAGCAGACTCTTCCTCCAGGGTATCCCAAAGCATTCCCAGGCAAGCAGAGAGACTTGGTCCCTCCAGCATGTGCTGGGTTTTCCACAGGGTCTCCTTCCAGTTTTACTAGCTGGGAACACCTCCAGATGTAGGCATCTAAGACTAGGAGGCATCCAAAATAGATGCCCAAGCCACCTCAACAGGCTTGTCTCTACTCTGAGCTCCTCAACCTAGTGAAATCACCATAATTGAGTATAATAATTCATATAATAAGCAATTCATATAATAGAAATAAAATATTAGCAACAAAAGACCTAATTGTCAATGACACTTTTCACAGCTGACTGGTCAGCTTTAGGGTTTGGGTATTATTCTAACTCAGATTAAAACCTGTTCTGGAGCAGGTTAGCAATGTAGCTCAAGTTACCACAGTGATGGAACTTTAACAAAACTAACACCACCCTCTCAAACCTGAAAACTCAAGTTCATGTTTAGCTTGAGCAAAACACATAGTTTACCTTGGTAAAAAAAAGTGTCATCAGGATTAACTTTGTTAGGTCTGTAGCACGATGACATACTGGATCAGATCCTATACATACAGTAGTGGACAGTTTAATGCCCATAATACTGCTATGGTTGGGATTAGGTGTAGGCATTAATAACTGTAAGGGTTGTGGTAGGTGTGGACATTAATAAAACTTAATGTAATAAGTAATTTAATAATTAATATAAAACATTTTTGATACATGATATTCTATCAGAGAAAAAGTTAAACTTTATGTTCCTTACGGAGACATGGCTTGATCAGAATGGCTCTATATCTCTTATAGAAGCTTGCCCACCTCATTATACGTTCTTGCAAAAGGTTCGCTGTGGAAAGAAAGGTGGCGGGATAGCCGCTATATTTATGCAGTCACTTTCATGTAAAGAGGTTGTTCTTGATGAATTTCTTTCTTTCGAATGTCTGGCAATAGAAATAATAGAAAGTAAGTGTCTTGTTGTTATAATATATCGACCTCCTAAACATAATCAGGGTTTTATTTCCGAGTTCTCCGAATTTTTAACTTTGTGTGTTACTAGATATGATAAAATATTAATAGTGGGGGATTTTAACTTTCATGTTGATAACAAACTTGATCGCAAAGCAGCAGAGTTTTTAGATATTTTATATTCTTTTAGTCTCACGCAACACGTAAATGGTCCTACACACAATAAAAAGCATACGCTTGATCTTATAATTTCACTTGGTATTAATGTTAACATAAATGAAATGATTGATCTAGCAATCTCAGATCATTTCTGCTTATTTTTTAACTGTCAAATTAATACTATACTTCAGCCTAAAGAAAAAATAGTTAGAAAGCGGTTTATTAACACCTTAACGTCGGAAACCTTTATTAATGAGATTCAACAAGCGCCTATATATTTTCGGCCTGAGATGAATGTGCACGATAAAGTTGATATCTTAAACGCGTTATTAAAATCAACTCTTGATACTGTGGCTCCGGAAAAAATAAAGAAAAGGAGGTTAGGGTTAAAAAAAAAAATGCCATGGAAGAATGATCATATTTGTCAGTTGAAGAGGAAATGTAGAAAATCAGAACGTCTCTGGAGGAAAACTAAATTAACCATACATCATGAAATTTTGCGGTCTAATATACACGAATATAATAAAACTATTCGTTTAGAAAGACAGTCTTTTTATTCTAAAATCATTAATGAAAACAGCAGTAATCCTAGAAAACTCTTTTCTACTATAGATTGTCTTTTAAACAAAAAAACAGCTAACTATTTTGACCAGCCTTCTGTTATTATGTGTGAGGATTTTGCTATATTTTTTAATAGCAAAATAACGCAGATTAGAACCGATATTATACAGCTTGACCAAAATTTTGTAGATGAATTGGGAAGTTATCCACAAAATAAAATGGAAAGGTTTAGAAATATTAGTAAAGAAAATATTATCCAAATCATATCTCAATTAAAGTCCTCTTCTAGCTGTCTTGACCCTATTCCAACTGAATTTTTTAAAAAGGTTTCAAATTGCTTGATTGACTATGTCCTTGACATAGTAAATGATTCATTAATGACAGGAATTTTTCCTAATGCTTTTAAAAAAGCTGTGGTAAAGCCACTTTTAAAAAAAACAAATTTGGACTCCACAGTTTTAAATAATTACAGACCAATTTCTAATGTTACATTTTTTAGTAAGATTTTAGAAAAAGTTGTATTGCTACAGCTCAATCAATTTTTAGATGAGCATAAAATTTGGGAAAAATATCAGTCAGGTTTTAGAAAAGGTCATAGTACAGAAACAGCATTATTGAAAGTAGTTAATGATATGCGCTTAAACATAGATAAAGGTAATGCATCAGTTTTAATTCTTCTAGATTTAAGTGCAGCATTCGACACGGTTGATCATTGCATTTTGATTAACAGACTGGAAAAACTTGTAGGTCTCTCTGGGATAGTTTTAAATTGGTTCAATACATATGTCACAGAAAGGACATTCTTAGTAAATATAGATGAATATACATCGCAAGAACACAATATATTATATGGTGTTCCTCAGGGATCTATCCTAGGCCCAAGTCTATTTTTATTATATATACTTCCTTTAGGTAGTATAATTCAGAAATATGGCATGAATTATCATCTTTATGCTGATGACATACAATTATATATTTCTGTTGAGCCAAGAGACACAACTGCATTGGAAAATTTGTCCAACTGCATGTCCAATATTGTGCAATGGATGACTGCAAATTTTTTAAAGTTGAATAAAGATAAAACAGAAATTCTAATTGTGGGCAAAAAACCTGAGCGAGAGAGGATTGAAGCAGAACTGTGTTCTTTAGGTTTACAATCAAAAAAAGAATTAAAGAACCTGGGTGTTATTTTCGATTGTGATCTTAGTTTTAAATCTCATATTAATCAAGTTACAAAAACATGTTTTTATCATTTACGAAATGTTGCCAAAATTCGTTCTTTCCTATCTTTTGATGATGCCAAGAAATTAATTCATGCTTTTATTTTCTCTCGGCTTGATTATTGCAATTCTATCTATACTGGTCTACCTAAGGGTTCTACAATGAAGTTGCAATTGATACAAAATGCAGCAGCCAGAGTTTTAATGAAATTGAAGAAACGAGAACACATTACACCAGTATTAATAGAATTACACTGGTTGCCTGTGCACCAAAGGATAGATTTTAAGATTCTTTTATTAGTTTTTAAAGCACTACACAATATGACACCTTCCTACATTTCCGACTGTTTAACAAAATATAATCCAAACCGTTTTCTACGCTCTTCTAGTGCTGGACTTTTAGAATTTTACCCTGTAAATCTGAGGCGATCTGGTGGCACTTCTTTTAGCCATTATGCTCCAAAAATTTGGAACTGTCTCCCCCTTGAAGTGAAAGAATCACCAAGTATTCATGTTTTTAAAAAGCGTGTTAAGACACATCTTTTTAAAATTGCGTATGATTAAACAAGTCTGTTAGGTGTACGCATTTTATCTATTTTTTTGTAGGTTTATGTATGTAATGTATGGTGTGTGCCTGCATATGTAAGGACTATTGTGTGTGTGATCATGTGAATATATACTTACATTTTGTGTACAAGAATGTTTTTATTTCAGTATATGTGATAAGTTTTTGTGGTCTATTTTAATGCTTTTGTTGTTGTTTGTGAGGCACTTTGAGTTGCATGTATGTTGGAAAAGTGCTATACAAATAAAGTTTATTATTATTATTATTATTATTATAATTCTAATTTCTAGCAACAACCACTCGCACATGCACGTCCACTTTATTTAACCTGATCCAGTATGTCATTTTGCTGCAGGTTGGAGTGAGAAGACGCTCTACAGTTCATTGCTCCATTGAGTCGGATTGCTTTTCTACCACATGAGTCCACGATCCACTTCAGATTTAATTTTTCACATCTTAATCAGGATATCTTCGACCGGTGGTGTCCAAACTCGGTCCTGGAGGGCCTGTGTCCTGGAGAGTTTATCTCCAACTTGCTTCAACACACCTGCCAGGAAGTGTCTAGTATATCAAGTAAGATCTTGATTAGCTAGTTTAGGTGTGTTTGATTATGGTTGGAGCTAAACTCTCCTGGACACTGGCACTCCAGGGGTAAGTTTGGACACCCCTGTCTTAGACCAATTGTTTCAATGCTGATCCAAACTAAATTGCCTTGTGATAACAAGGAATCTCCATGAGTAAGTCCCTTTAATTTCAGACTAGGAATTTGAGTTGAGTTGAATATCTCTGTATTGGGATATAAACCGTAATAGAGCAATATGATCAAGAAGACAAAATATAGAAAAGGAAATGGACATTGTTTTTCAGTTCACTACTATAAAGGTTTTGATGTTGATGTGTCATTGTTGAATAACAACGACACATGATATTGACAGAGCTTAAAACTTGTTTTTGTTAAAAAAAAATAAAATAATAAAAAATTAAATAAATTTAAACAATATTTTTTTAATTTATTAGACTAATTAAAAATAAAATAAATTAAAATAATTGAAAGTAAAATTAATTAAAATAATTAAAAATAAAATCAATGAAAATAATTTCAAAAATGTGTTAAAATGATTAAAAATAAGTCCTGAATGATCTCCACAAACATACTAAGCAGTGCAGCTGTTTTTTAACATATTCAAAAATGACTTTTAGTTTTTTTAAACTTTTAATCTTAAATTTTTTTTTCAATTATTTTCCCCACGTGTCACATGACCCCGCTCTGTTAAAGGCTGTGGCTGATCTCTACTTCTGTGGCCTCTTTGCAGCCACATCTGACCTCTGGTCAAGTTGGACGATGGACCTATTCTTGAGCTTTACTTTGCACTATATTGACGTTGATTGGAAGCTGCGCCAGAGATGCCTTTAGATGGCATCTACAGTAAAACTTATCAGTAAACTATGAGGACAATTTTTTTTTTTTTTAAATAATTGTTCATTAATTGTAATTTAATTAAAATGGTCAATTAACTGAGATTTTGATTTTAGGCCAAATCGCTCAGCCCTAGTAATTTAGTCCTCCAAACAATTTAACAATGTACTTTTATGTATTAAGTCGGGACATGATAAATAGAGCTGAGGTATGGGACTGTCCTGGGAAAAGTTGAATGTCAGGTCACCCTACTCTCATTTTTGGTCAGCCACATAAATCCCTCTTTCTTTGCCTTTTTACCACAGTTTTTTTCTCTGTGCCTTCAGTCTGTCCTGACAGTGAGTGTAAAATCACTAGAGGATTTGCGCTGATCAAGCCGATTGTAAATACGGCCTGAAACATGCACTTTTGGTTTTCTGCACACATGAATGATGGATGTTCCTCTGTTTCTTCTGCTTTCTCAGCATGTTGTGTTTGTGGTAAAGTTCTTCGTGGCGTGGCTCATCCCAGATGTGCCTTCAGAAGTGAAAGCCCGTATAAAGCGTGAGCGCTTTCTGGTCCAGGAATACCTGCACAACTATGAAGTGGAGAAACTGAAGATGCAGCTAAGCCAGAGTTTCTGCCTATCCACAGAAACGGCCTCACTGCTGCCCTCTAGTCCAAACAAACACCAGGTGATTTCTGAATGTGTCTGAACATCCTCAGGAGGACTACACTTAGATGTACTGTACACTGCAAAGCATGAAGGACTCCTTCATACTGTACATTCAGTGCTAAAAAATAACTCGCCCTCACTCAGACAACTGCCAGAAGTTTTACAAACAGCTCTAAATGTGAAACAACTATACGGTCTGCTTTCATTTTGCTCAAGGTTTATCAGAGAACGTCAGCTTTTGCAATGGATAAAAATGGCAGTGAATTCAACAGCAAACCTTCTGGAATGCAACCCGATGCTCCTCCAGGTGCTGTGAAGGCAACTCGTAAACAATCAGGAAAATCACCATTAAAAAAAGACATTCGGAAATGTTTTAAGAAGGCATTAAGTGTTTCTCTGTCCAGCTTGTTGCCATCTTTGATTTGAAGACATAATCTGCATGCTTTGCTCTGTATGTCTGACTGTGAAAGAGCTCCTCGTTGAATGTGTGTTGTCTTTTGTTTTCAGAGAAAAACCATGTTAGTGTCACATTTTATTATGAGCATGGACAAATTATATATAAAACACGTGTGCCATGTTGAGTTTAATATGTGATGCTCATGTGGTTTTTCTGTAAGGGCAGATCAATCAGATTATTCTATTTTTATTTAACATTTATTATTTGTTCCAGTGAAGAAACACTGAAATCTATCAGAGAAAATGGAGCGTTTGCATTATCAGAATATTTATATTTTATCATAGTTGTTTTTATTTTGAAAGAATGCTGTACCTTGCCACCCACACATATTGTTTAGTGTATAATTAAAAATGTTAAGTGTAATTATTTGTTTTTTTAAAGGATGCATTTATTATTTAGGGGTAAGAGCACTTGTGTTTTCGCCAGACTGAGCTCTAGAATGACTTGCTGTATATTTTCTGATGTGTCAGAAATTCAAGCCATACGCCTAAATCTTCAGGAATCTGTCAGGGTTTGTACATATCTAAGACTGAAGGAACATCAGTTCGACATCTTTTGTCTTTAAGACTGAGAAAAGTTTTTATGAAACTCTCTCCCCCTTTTGTTTTGATTTCTGCACAAATGCACTTAGGACTTGTTCAGATTTTTGTAATCAGATCCCCATGCATCAGTGGCTTTGATTTCCAGTTTGATAACTATATTTGATATAACAGAATGCTGGGAAAGTGAGGTGCATGAAGCTGGCATTGTGTGATTTCTAATTATTCTTCCATCAGCTGTATACAATGTCAATCCTCAGTTGGGTTTTACATAAAAAATGACTAAAACTGAAGAGATTAAGTTTCCTCTTGTAATACTGACCTGGTGCCAAGAGGTTTGGATATATTTTGTGCTGCCCCATTTGTTAATTTGTCCTGTAGCACTATTTATTACTGTTAAGATGACCATTCACTGAGTGGGTTAAAAAACAAGCAAACTTGTTCAAATTTTGTCCCAAGAGTATTTTCTAGTGTACTAATTCAACTACACGCCTTCTGTTTGCACTCGTACCTTCTGTTCGGAGTCGTACCTGTTCATTTCACACAAATCTGTTTGAAAATCCTCTGTGTATATCTTTTTTTGGCCTGTTGTGTAAGCTGACTTTCATGAACCCTTTTATGGACAATACCAATACAGTTTACAGAACTTTTTCGAATAGTGTGTGTTGATATATGTGTGGAAACAAAGCCTAGGTATCTATGTAGACCCGTAAAAACGGGACAGGGGCGTTATAACAATAATATTTAAACAAAAAAAAGCTGAGAGTTATGTATGTACCCATACCTATCCATAATGATGTTCATATGTCTGTGTATGTTGTTGGTTTGGCCTACAAATGTTTACAGGATGAGTTGCATGAATACGTGTGCAAGTTGAACGTCTTGAATTAAGCTTTTAAACAGAAATTACTGTTTGCATTCCAGCGAGGAGAACGTGCCAAATAAAGTCATTAAAGTTTCTCACGTTCAGCACTTGTTGGGCGTCCTCTGATAGCTACAGTGCAGTGAATGAACGCTAGATGGCGCGCGTGTTTCACTAGGCGCGCTCTTGACAACCTGTTGTGAAGCTTTCAAGTAGCTACCCAGCATTTCACAGCGCAGTTACCTTCATATAACGAGGTCTGTGATTTAGCAGTAACCTGTATCCGAATTATGCAATCATTATTAAATGTGTTAAATACGCAGAGCATTTCCCTCATTATTTTCAGACATTAGAAACTGACTTAAAATCAAGGATGCTTTCATCCAGACTTTGCTTGTATCGACATACCTACGTGCAACAGCATTTTATTGATTTATTTTTGCTGTGGAAGCCAGAGAGAGCGGACCTGCGATGTGTGTATGAATTATTAATACGCTTTCATTCGCACAAGCACACGCGCACTTGGCGGGGGGAAACACCCCTGATCCGGTTTCCATAGCACCGCCCCCAGGAGGCTTGCACGGCCTTTGATGGAAAACAAGCAATAAGCATAAAAGCTCAAATGTAGAAACTTACAATCTCACGTCACGTGCGCTTAACATGCGCATCAAAAACACTATCATTTGCTCCACGTGCAGCATTACTCAGATCAATTGAGAACAAAATAAAAGAAAATGTGAATGGAATGTGAACACTTTCCGCCCTCTCTAACCCCTCCCAAATCGACTGCTGGCTCAGTGACGGCTGTGATCCGCCTCGCGCACTGCTGGCTGGCACAGGACTGGCGGCGGAGCTCGCGCTGATCTGAACGCGAGTCTGTCGCTGACCTTGGTGCTGAAAGCCATTTACCGCCCTTTAAAGCCACTTAACTGGCACTTCAATCGGAAAAAGTGACAGTACGGTACAAGGAAATTGGACCTATTTTTCTTTTAATCTGTGTTTTTGATCACAAGTGATTTTAATCAGAACTCCGTGTTCATTGAGTTAAATCTGAGATGGCATCGCGTGCCCCTATCGCGCGCGGGGCAGTTTATGAGTTTATAATAATGAGTAGACAGAGCCAGACCACTTCTGATCTCTCACTCGTGTAAGCGGATTTTTTTTCCCTTCGCTCTGTGAACACCGTCGTGAATTTTCCCCATCCGTCTTATACTGAATCATTGATCCGCTGGGTATGCTCTCTCATCTCACACTGTGACATGGTACTTTAACATTACCTGGGAAAAAAACGAGGGATTTTCACATTTGGACATGGAGACTCCGAGGGAGCCTGCTGGTTTTAGCAAAGAGGGGCTGAAGCAACTTGCGGGGAAGACACTGGGGCACGTGTACAGGTAAGATGATTTAACATTGTACAAATCAATTTAGACGTTTGAACATAATGTGCATAAACGTGTGTGTGCTAGGCATGAATATAATCAATGTCTTCCTGGCTTATGACAGAACAGAGAAAGTATGAATTTGTGTGGTAGTTTTGTCTGCCCAAAACGAGTTTCCCCAGTCGGTTTTGGCGTCACGCCTCACGGAGACGAGCAGAAAATTATGTAATTGTGCATAATCTTGGGAGGAGGGGATGGAAGCATGCGAGTTTTCCTATCTTTATGGGTTGTCATGTATTCTGGCGATTGTAGGGCTTTTACGATTGCAGTCTAATCGTTCAATTAGAAGATTCCCTCGAGTGTCTCTTCCTTTTAGAGACCATCCACATATTCCCACAATACCTGCTGAAATAATCATTATTGAAAAACATGAGAAAATCGGATTATACATCATTATTCAACATTGGATCGATGCTCTTCGATACAGAGTCATTTTTGTGCGCGTTTTAAGAAAAAAAAACCTCTGCAACTTGCACGAAGGGTTAAAAAACTGATCGACCGCCTGGACCATCTGAACGAATTGTTCTTTCGCAATTGAAAGTGCATTTTCCTTTCAACGCTGCATTTAGTTAATGTGTCTCCTCATATTTATTTTTTTCCTTTGCTAAGAGAAATGTTTTAGCCTCTACATATTTTCGATCATTCTCTTGTTTCTGCTATGATTAAAAGCCTGAATTAACGATTTTAATACAGTTCATGTGCATTTTATATGATTGCATTTTGTCAAAATAAAACGTCTTTTGTTTCCATCATAAAAACTTCAATCGAAATGTTTGGCATTTTTACATTTCGAAACAATATATGCCTACATTTTAATGCACATTAAATTATTATATATTATACATCCCCATGTGCGTTTTTATTTAAAATCCTAATGTTAAAAAACTACGCAAATCCCTCTCTTTTTGAGAACACAAAGCACTAGTATACTTACATTAATTCTGCTATTGAAGTGAATAATATGATTGAACCCTAAGCCGTGTGATTGTAAAACAGGTGAAGGTGAAGGGAATTGCTGCAATGCGGTACAGTGCGCTTTACAGCAGCACAGCAAATCTCTAAATAGTTTGAAGAAAATATTTTGTGATGAAATAAAAATAAATATAAGACAATTGCATGCGATCTCGGTGATGTCTGAATCTGAATCTATTAAAATAGGCTACCAGTGGAAATGTAAACTGAATGAAATGTTTAAAAGCACGTTTGATTTAATATTAGGCTACGACCAATATTTACAGGGGGAAATGATAGATATTCATAATTATTCTGACTAATTTAGTTCCTATAGCCAGTGAGCTGTTGGTGTCCTACAAACAGTTCTCTTCTGACTGATTCAGGGTGATAGAAAAGCGGCAAAAACCTGGTGAGAACATTGAACTGACCGAGGATGGACGGCCTGCCCAGATCAACGAGAGAAAAGCACCTTTGTGCGACTGTACTTGCTTCGGACTTCCGCGCCGCTACATCATCGCCATAATGAGCGGCCTCGGTTTCTGTATCTCCTTCGGTATTCGGTGCAACTTAGGCGTGGCCATAGTGAGCATGGTGAACAACAGCACCATTCACCTGAACGGAAAGATCATCATCAAAGAGGTTTGTACGCCTGGCACGCTTCGAATTTTATATGTCTACGTCAGCTTCGTGACACCCCCTCACACAGATCATGAACGCACACACACACACACACACACACACACACACACACACAGTCTGACGTGCACACACATACGTACAATTTAGGGAATAGGATAAAATGAAATAAATAAAATAAAGCAAAATATTTAACGAACGTAATGGTTTGTGTTTGTTGAAAAGAGGCTTATTGGATGCTGAATCGCAGACTTGGAAAATATTGAAAGCAAATACTGATGCAAAAAAATTGACCTTGGTTGTTTGAATGTCATCGGCCTCAAATTGATTAACTCTTCAGCTAGAACTAATGCTGCGCACTTTTTTCTTTTTTTTTTTTAGTGCACATTGATCAATAATATTTTTTTTGTGTTGTGGCTTTTATAAATAACGAATATGCAGTATATTCATAACATAAAACATATTTCTTTTTCTCAGAAAGCAAAGTTTAACTGGGATCCGGAAACAGTTGGATTGATTCATGGCTCGTTTTTCTGGGGTTATATAGTGACGCAAATTCCCGGAGGATACATTTCTTCAAGACTGGCGGCAAACAGGTATGGAAATGATGTTTATTTATTTTTTAACATCACAGTTGTTGTTTTTAATATTATCAGCTCATACGTAGACCTATTTAATTGCATTTAAAATAGCATTTGGTATTTAGCTATAATAATCTCTAATGCTGTAATGCAAAACAAAATTAAATCTTCATTGGTAACGAAAGAATATTCATAATTAAGTGTGATTCTTTAAAAAAATGTATATGATATTAGTTGGAGAGTTTTGATTAGCTGAAGACTGAAAATCCTTTCAAAGGCGGTGCGAAAAATGCAAAGGATCATCATGTTTTTAAAACATTTTTGAATGCGAAGGAGAATCATTTATTGCTGTATGTTTTTTCATACATGCAAACATATTAAAATATAACCCTAATATTTAAAAAATAAACCATGACCAATATTAGTAATGTTATTTGTATCCATATAGAGAAACACGATTTGTGATCATCATTAAGTCTGACTGAGCTGTACATATTAGTTGTCTGTGTTGCACTAGAAATGTTCCTTATTCATAGCTTCTTGGAACTGTACCTGTCATGGAGGAAACAGAGGATGATGGGAGGACCTATGTTCATCTGTTTATTATTTGCATAAAATTTCTTGTAAGAGCGCATTTTTGTGTGTGAAACTAATATCATTATGAGCTCTTCCCCGATATAACTTTTATGAATTATACTGGCTCATATTTTACTATAGAAAAACAAGGAAAGAAGAAAATGTTCACTCTTAAAAAAAATACATTTTTCTATTGTTAACAATGGTCAAATTTATTGACCATTCATATTGTAATTCCACAGAATATTAAATAGAAATTGTTACGGTATAGTAGATTTTTTTAAATGTTCTTCAAGCTATGAATAAAATCACTAAAAGGTTGTTTGGGGAACCCTCAAAATTGTCGTCACTATAAAACCCCCATATTTTTTCTTCCTGACACCTTTAGTTTTATGAATTATTATTTAGAGAACTGTGCTTTTTAAAACCATGGTTTATTATTTTTTCGTTTTTTCAGGACTCAGACTTGCTTCTAGCGTTCTTAAATTAAGGTCATTGTCCATTATTAATCTGGCACATGCTATAGGCCTAGATGAGATGCTGTATATGCAGTGAATACAGTAAGGTATAAGCAATGCAAGTGTTAAAAGAGAGAGGGTAGGGGTAAAAATTTATTAAATAAATCAATGCTTAAATCAGAGAGAGAGAGAGAGAGAGAGAGAGAGAGAGAGAGAGAGAGAGAGAGAGAGAGAGAGAGAGAGAGAGAGAGAGAGTTCATTGCTCTGCTTGTGTTTCAATGCTGTGTGTCTGAGAGTGAGTGAGTGAGTGGCAGAGTGAAGGCTGACCCGTCGTGTGAGTTGTAGGATTAGACTGTGGGAGCGGGTCTGTGGGGCATTCATTCTCCACCTGTTAATGAGATCCCGGGGGGAACCGTGTCTAATCTGCTCAATGAGGGGGGCATGGCAACCAGCCCCGGACATGTTGCCAGAGGGCTTGGCCGTGACTCATATTTCACACAACGATTTAGCAACAATAAAAACGCCCATGTTAGCTATACGGTAGTTGGAAGTATAATTTTTCTTCTCACTAAAACAAACATCTGCTTTGATGGTTGCATGGCTAACAATAGACCAAACGGTTTGTTTGTCAATAATCCGCCATAGTCAAAATGTTGTGCAATTCTATATCATATTCCTATAGACGCAGTACGTCAAATTATTGATTTAATTGTATTTGCTGAAATTATGCAACACTTCCCAGTTCATATTTCGGCAATTGGTTGACGTGATTGGGGACTAATAGAATCAGCGAGTCTCGTGCTGGAGGACTCTCTCAATCCGATTAGCGCTGTGCCAGTGGGAGAGAGAGGTGAGGGGTCTCGAGCTCTACACGACGACAGAAAAATTGGAAATAAATGAAAGTCCGTTTTTCTTCTGTGGTAATAGCCTACTAGAAGCCTACCCCGCGTGACCAAACACAATAGGCTACCATTTTTTTTATGACAAACACGTGTATGTTTAGCAGCCTATTTTCTCTCAGCGACAAAACTGTGTATAATTAAAAAGATTGGCGACTATAATGACACCTGAATAGTATAGGTTTATAGGGGAAAACTGATGAAATGAACCTATAAATGTGTTTCTCTAACTAAACAGCACAATTTAACCACGTATCCATTTACTATGCAGGGTTTTTGGCGCGGCGATTCTCCTCACGTCCACACTGAATATGTTCATCCCCTCAGCTGCACGTGGTCACTATGGTTGCGTCATATTCGTCAGGATATTACAAGGGCTTGTAGAGGTAAGAATACCTACGGTTTTCTCGCTGTTTGTTTGCTGTGCTCTTTAAAAAGAGTCTGTATTGGCATGAATGATTCCACAAAGAACATTTAACATTCATGGAGCCTTTCCATTCCACGAAGGCTTTCTTAAAATCGTAATATTTAGAAAAAAATGTTCTTTTAAGAACAATTGACTGAAAAGTTTTTCGCGGAACCAATTAAACTGCTAAACTGCTGCAAAACTTTATTTCTTAACTGTGTAATATTAATCTAACACCATGACAATTATAGGCCTATTCATATCTAAAACATGAGCACTTTTGGCTATTTCTCCAAGAAAAAAAAACATTTGTGGTTGTTCATACTGGGAAAAGTCCATTATCCTATAACAATCAGTTATGACCTGAGGATATCTGTAAGAGAACAATAACCCAGGCTTTGTCTTCGGGACAAGTGTATTGATTTGTAGAGGCACTATGTGTTTTGTAATTACCACGATTATGTCAACAATGTGTATTATTATTATTTTTTAAGAAACTATATTTATAACCACATTATGAAATATTCAACCTGATAAAACTGATGGGTGTTATTATTGTTTTTATTGTAGGGTGTAACTTACCCAGCCTGTCATGGGATCTGGAGTAAGTGGGCCCCTCCACTGGAAAGAAGTCGTCTGGCCACAACCTCCTTCTGTGGTAAAAATTCAACCTCATTCTCTTTAAAGCAAACATACACAAGTGGATAAAAGAGAGAGAAAAACAATGCTATTACATTTGTTTAGTTGCTCTCTTAGTGGCTTATTGTTGAGTTCATTTTAAAATGTAAATATTCATTTGCTGTTTATCTTCAAGAATACTAGGATAGGAAACATTATTTATGCATGATCTGTATCTTCCTGTGATGTTTTAATGCATAAACAACTATTGAATTCAAGGCTGCCTGGGCTGAGAGTACATATAGAAAGCTTCTTTTTTGTTTAAAGACTTTTACTGTAAGTTGAACTACAAACTGAATTTTGACTTGAACACCCCCCCCCCCCAACCCCCCCATTCTTTCCTCTGTAGGTTCCTATGCTGGGGCTGTCATTGCCATGCCTCTGGCTGGGATCCTGGTGCAGTACACGGGCTGGTCTTCTGTTTTCTATGTCTATGGTAAGAGTGGTTTGTGTGTGTAATGCAACTGTTGTTATATGAGTGTGCTGAACGAATGGCCTCGGTAGTATGGATTAACTCGCTGATGCTAGATATTGATTTTTCCTCTGATGCTGCCATGTGTCTATCTTCTGTGCTGACACTGAATCGGCTTGTTTCGGTGCCAAGAATTAGCACGTCCTGGATGGAAAGCAATGCATTTTAATCTCATCACTTATATGAGGAGTTTTCAGTCAGATGATCTACCTGCCTGACATCATTTATTTTAAGATTCACATCTACTCTGAAAAAATATGTACTTTCAATCAACTTTTAAAAAAATAAAAATGCTGAAAATAAAATGTTTAGTCTTTCTCAAAGTATAAAATTACTTTGGTTCAAACTGTAAAAATTTATTTAATCTTTATTCAAAAATATTAATTGTGGTCAAGAAAAAAAAAGATTTACCCAAAGTAGAAATATTCTATACTCTAAAGACCCTAATTATAATTGTTATTAATATTTTTACTTTGGTACAACATAGATGTTTAAAACTTAAGATTTTATTATTATTATTATTTTTTTTTTAATATTTAGTTATATTCTACCTGATGCAGTGGCGCAGTAGGTAGTGTTGTCGCCTCACAGCAAGAAGGTTGCTGATTCGAGCCTCAGTTGGCTGGTTTGAGGGTCAGATGGCGTTTCTGTGTGGAGTTTGCTTGTTCTCCCTGCATTTGCGTGGGTTTCCTCTGGGTGCTCCGGTTTCTCCCACAGTCCAAATACATGTGGTACAGGTGAAGGCTAGGCTAAAGGTAGGGTAGGCTAAATTGTCCATAGTGTATGTATGTTTGCAAAATGAGTGTGTATGGGTTTCCAAGTGATGGGTTGCGGCTGGAAGAGCATCCGCTTTGTAAAACATATGCTGGATAAGTTGGTAGTGGATTCTGCTGTGGTGACCCCAGATTAAAAAAGGGACTACGCCGAAAAGAAAAAAAATTAATGAATGAATGAATATATTTTACGCTTAGATCAAAGAATAATTTTGCTTTGGACCCAACCTAAAAAAAAGTACAGTAATTTGCTACAGCTAAATTGATAAATGCCCCTCAAATCATTATATTTTGGACAAAACTGCTGGTTTAAAGTATAAATAATGAATAAATAATAATATTATTATATAATACATTAAATAATAATAAAAAAATAATAATGCTGTTAATTTTTCCTATGGGATTTGTTTGTTTTTTTCTTTAAGGCAAATTAAATTAAACAGGATAAAATCAGAAATCATATTTTTCACTTAATCCAAAAAAAATATTGTTCGTTCTTTGAACGAAAGACACAGTAGTTGATCATTTTTCATTGTACATTATTTGTTGCTCTCTTTTTTCAGGCTGCTTTGGGATTTTCTGGTACATGTTCTGGATCTTGGTGTCATATGAGAGCCCGGCTGAACACCCCACCATCACAGCTGAGGAACGCTGCTACATTGAGGAGAGTATCGGAGAGAGTGCTAAGCTGCTAGGACCTGCAGATGTAAGTGCAAATCTACCTTACAGATAGTTTTCTTAGAAATAATGGAGAGAAAGAGATCTATCTATCTATCTATCTATCTATCTATCTATCTATCTATCTATCTATCTATCTATCTATCTATCTATCTATCTATCTATCTGTCTGTCTGTCTGTCTGTCTGTCTGTCTGTCTGTCTGTCTGTCTGTCTGTCTGTCTGTCTGTCTGTCTGTCTGTCTGTCTGTCTGTCTGTCTGTCTGTCTGTCTGTCTGTCTGTCTGTCTATCTATCTATCTATCTATCTATCATTTACACATTTGAATTGCACTTTATGGCCTTGATTTCTGCTCCAACGGTTGATGTTGAAAAGATTAACAAAGGACTTTCGCTGACATCTTTACTAGTTTGAAGTGATATGTTGTGTAGAAAAAAAAAACAGGTAATGAACTGCGAATACATTTTCTGTTATCAAAGGTGATGGGAGGGGGGGGGGGATTCTTACTACAAATACTTGTGAAATGCATCATTTTTAACTACTAAAATGTCAAAAACTCACAATAAGTCCCTTTATTTAACCACAGTGTAAAGTACTTGAAAACCAAACACAGTGGTGAACTTAAAACAGTATATGCATTATAGTGCTGGCACAGTGTTTCATTTCAAAATTCACATCACCAGCTGCTGTCAATACAGTGTTTTAGTCAGTTTTGTTCTTCTGTGGATGTTGAAGAAGGTGGATGTTGGGGTTATCTAAGGACATTTAATAAAGTCTAAGTTTAATGTACCAACAAAGATAGACTAGAAGCAGAGAATTCTTCCACATCAAACATTTTGATATATCATATTCCTTAAAAATGTAATTCATGCATTTTTCCCTTGTTAACCTTTCTATGACTTTACCATGAACTGCCACTTAATGTCAGAACTGACAAAAAGAGTTTCACACACACTTCCAGCATCAAACCTTTACATATCATATTTGTTGAAAGCCCTCTATACAGCAGGTATCTATCATAATCAAAAACATATGGGTAGTATTGTTCACTACACATTACTCAATGCTCTCCTACAGAAATTTAAGACACCTTGGAGGAAGTTTTTCACATCCATGCCCGTCTATGCAATCATCGTTGCCAACTTCTGCAGGAGTTGGACCTTCTACTTGCTGCTCATCAGCCAGCCCGCATACTTCGAGGAGGTGTTTGGCTTTGAGATTAGCAAGGTAATTTCTCTTTACCTTTCATTTGGCGTGCATTTTATTTGGAAATTGTTAAATACACACCCAGTAATTAAAAAAAAATGATTAAATACTTCATGAAAAGCTATAGTTGAGTCAACGTGGCTTGCCTGAGTGTCTAAGTTTCATTTGATTTTTGTCTATAATTCCAGTGCGCATCAGTAAAAGGGTGACCTTTGTTATTCCCTAAGGTCTGAAATAGGTTGATGAATTATTCATTGCGAATATTGTTCAAAATGAATTATTCATTAATCATTTATTGGTGATTTTGCATCTCATCTCATCTTGTTTCCTCACTTCCTACAGTTAAACCTGCAACCATGTCTTTACATCTAGTTTTAGTATTAACCTACTAATAGCAATGCCTTGCATGGTACAGTAATGTTGCATGCTAAATGTTTATCCAGTATTTACACATAAATCTAATTTAAAATCAAATTTAATTGAAAGATTCTCACAGTTTTATTATTATAGATTTGATCTTGCTTTGGTGTGTCTGTGTACTGTATGTCACAGTTTTAGCTAGCATTGGTCAGTGGCTAATGCTTCTATCCTGGAGAGTTTTTAATAGGACGCTCATGAGCCTGACGCTGGTCTCTTCTTCAGGTTGGCATGTTGTCAGCTCTGCCCCATCTGGTGATGACCATTATTGTGCCCATTGGGGGACAGCTAGCCGATCACCTTCGCAGCAAAAACATCCTGTCTACAACTACGGTTCGAAAGATCATGAACTGCGGAGGTGATTCCAGCCTTCAGCACAAATGCACACAAACCTTAGACACTATACGACTGCATTAATTTATCTTTTGTTGTTAAATCCATGTGAACTAGTAAAGTTAAGGGGGTAGTTTACCCAAAAATGAAAATGTCTTCTCTCTCGAGTATACTCTCAGAAATAAAGGTAGGTAAGCTGTCAGTGGGGTGGTACCCTTTTCAAAAGGTGTACATTTGTACTTAAAGGGTACACATTGGTACCTTAAAAGTATTTATTAATACCTAAAAATTTTAAGAGGAACAGTTTTGTGCTTTTTAGGTACTAATATGTACCCTCGAGGTATTAATATGGACTTTTTAGGTACAAATTTGTACCTTTTAAAAGGTACCACCCCAGTGACAGCTCACATACCCTTATTTCTGAAAGTGTAGTTCTAAATCTTTATTTGTTTATTTTTTCATTTGAACACAAAAAGAAGATATTTTGAAGAAAGCTGAAAACTGGCAACTATTGACTTCCACAGTAAAAAACAAATACCATTGTCAATGGATGTAGGTTTACAACATTCTTTAAAATATCTTCTCTTGTGTTCAACAAACAGGTCAAACTGTGTTGTCACAAGTTAAGGGTGTGAAAATGGTTTTTAGGTGAACTATCCCTTTAAATTATGCTAGCTCACTTTTAAAATCACTTTGAAAGAGAGAGATTACCCAGAAATTAAAATTGTTACTATTTACTCACCCTCCACTTTTAATTCCTTTCTTCTTTCTTCTTCAATTACAATTTGTAATACAATTAAAATATTTTGTAGAATGTCAGAAAATAATAGCCAATGCCTGACATAATCTGTGGACTTTTTTTTTCTTTTTCTGCACAGAAAATCTGCAGATTTATGTCGAATGATTTTGGAGGATGGTAACTAAAACAGTATATAAAAGATAATAAACTTTTTAATAATTAATACTTGTATTTTAGGTTTACAATGCAAATCCAGTTTGACCCATTTGTATGGTAAACAAGGCAAATATATATAAATATAATATGTAAAATAATAGACAAGAATATAATATATCAAATAATAAACAGAATATAGTATATCAAATAATAGGCAGTGAATATTACTTAAACTGTTTTTAATGGGTGACACGGTGGCTCAGTGGTTAGCACTGTTGCCTCACAGCACGAAGGTCACTGGTTCAAGTCCCGGCTGGACCAGTTGGTGTTTCTGTGTGGAGTTTGCATGGGTTTCCTCCAGGTGCTTCACAATCCAAAGACATGCATTAAACACTGTAAAAAATAGAACCATAAAGTTTACAGTTTAAAAATGGCAGCTGTGGTTGCCAGTATTTTACGGTACAAACCATAAAAGTAATTTCTCCTTTTTAACAGTAAACTATCGTATTTCATAAATTAATAGATGTAGTAAGTTTGTATTTTAAATTACCAACATCTACACATCTTAACACAGTTAAGTTAAGTTAACACAGCCATATGCAGGTGGTGATGAGAAAGTTACATAATGAACCATTGCTCATCTCAAACATCTTTTCTCACAAGCAGAAAAGTGTATCAACGTATAGAAGGTGCTCAGTGTCATTCACACAGGGCCAGAGCAAGCTGAACTGCCGCTCTAGGCAAAGGACGGTTATGCCGCCCTCGAGGGACGAGGTTAGGCCGGGTTGTCGAGGGACGCCGCCCTCCCTATTCTGCCGCCCTAGATGCGGACATAACTGAGGGCACAGGTGGTGAGGGTAGTGTCGCGGACGCCGCCCTAGACGCGGATATAACCGAGGGCGAGGGTGGTGAGGGTAGTGTCGCTGACGCCGCCCTAGACGCGGATATAACTGAGGGCGGGAAAGGTGAGGGTTGTGTCAGGGACGCCGTCCTCTTTATTCTGCCACCCTAGGCGGCCGCCTAGGTCGCCTCTATGGACGCGCCGGCCCTGCATTCACACAGCTACTTAACACCAGTATGGTAACACACATACAATTAAAGTCATTGAACATTGTTTATCAACATTAGATGTAAAATTAATCTCTAATGTCCATAACTGATGGGGAAACAACTAAAAAGATCCAAATGAATGTCAACAAAAAGCATAAAAAAGGGTTGTGCCATCCAGGGAATTCTGGGAAAGACAGTTTACGGTTATTCGCCGTTTATATTAAGGAAACATACTGTTAACCAGGTCACAAATTTTTACTGTAGCTGTTTTACAGTTTTTACCGTTGAAATCCTGGCCATTTTTACAGTGTAAGTGAATTGAATAAACTAAATTGACCATAGTGTATGAGTGTGTGTGAGAGTTTATTGGTGTTTCTGAGTACTGGGTTGTGGCTGTTAGGGCATCTGCTGCCTAAAACATATGCTGGATATGTTGGCGATTCATTCCGCTGTGATAACTTCTAATAAATAAAGGACTAAGCTGAAAAGAAAATTATGAAAGAAATTATAAAACTGTATTTACAAATAATGTAATCATATAAAAATTTGCATATTAGTTAATAATATTACAGAAATTAATATAAAGAACTAAAATATGTACATTTACAAACATTTACATAATTAAATAAACAGATTCAACTATGAGAAAAAAACCCTGTGTAAATCTGCAGATTTCTCTGTGTATAGATTCTGTGTGGGTATTAGTCGATAGCTGTTGACTTCCATCATATTTTTCTATGGATATCAAAATCTACTAGTTCCCAAAATATCTTTGTTTGTTTTTAGCAGAAAAAAATAAAGTCATAAATGTTTGTAAGTAGTGTAGGGTGAGTAAATGATGAGTACATTTAGATCTTGGGGTGAATTCTTTCTTGTACGCATTGCAGTATTTCATCTAAATGTAATGATTATATAGTTGTATTAGTACAATTAATCTTAATAAATTGATTAATCATGTGTTTTTATCTTCCTCAGGTTTTGGGATGGAGGCCACTCTGTTGTTGATTGTTGGTTATTCACACAGTAAAGGAGTGGCTATTTCATTTCTAGTGTTGGCTGTCGGCTTCAGTGGATTTGCAATATCAGGCAAGCCTCTTGGGAAAGAGTATATCATTTACTTTCATTGCAAACCTGTCGTTTATAGGCAACAATTATAAGAAAACCCAGCAGCCATAAATAATAGCCAAGAAATGCTGCAAAAAAAGGCGGTATTTCTAAGAAGTACCATGTTTCCCTTTTATCGCTCAAATGTGCTCTTCCTCCAGTGAGGCTTGAAAGGAAGAAGTGTTTCTGTTGGACTTTTTAATAATTCATGCTCACTCCCCTGAGAGGCAGCACATCCAGACAGAGCTGTGCGTGAGGGAGGGGCCAGAGACTCCTCCGCTGCACAAGATGGCTGCTCATGCTATTTATAGTCTTGATCTCCAACATCGTGTTAGAGATACTGTAAAATATGCACAGCTAAAACATACATATTATACAGTAGGAACACTGTGACCTGAATATTTAGGAACGAAATGTAATTTATTATTATTACTAACATTATTATTATATTTCTATATTATTTTCTATATATAAATATACACTCACTGGCCACTTTTTTTAGGTACACCTGTTCAACTGCTCATTAACACAAATTTCTAAGCAGCCAATAACATGGCAGCAACTCAGTGCATGTAGACATGGTCAATATGATCTTCTGCAGTTCAAACTGAGCATCAGAATGGGGAAGAACGTTGATTTAAGTAGCTTTAACCATGGCATGGTTGTTGGTGCCAGACGGGCTGGTCTTAGTGTTTCAGAAACTGCTGTTCTACTGGGATTTTCACACACAATCTCTAGGGTTTACTGAGAATAGTCAGAAAAAGAGAAAATATCCAGTGAGTAGCAGTTCTTCTGTGGGCACAAATGCCTTGTTGATGCCAGAGGTCAGAGGAGAATGGCCACACTGGTTCTAGCTGATAGAAAGGCAACAGTAACTCAAATAACCACTCGTTACAACCGAGGTATGCGGAAGAGCATCTCTAAACGCACAACACGTCGAACCTTGAGGAGGTCTAAAAAGGGGGTTCAGCCCAGCCCTTTTAAGCTGTATCTAATAAAGTGGCCGTTGAGTGTATTTTTTTGGTCAGGCACCATGCTCAGAATAATTAGTCTTAAATAATAAACACGGCTCTATTTTCATCTGCTCTCCCTATAATTTCATATTTTGTTATTAATTTGAAATACATTTTATTTTTAAAATTCTTTTTTTTATATATTAATATGTAAAAACGTATATATAAATAGTGTTTTTGATGTAAATTTATTAAGTTTATTATATTAATATATAGTTTTTATTGTAATAAGCTTAAAGCTTTAGTATTGTTTTTTTAAAGGGTTAGTTATTTTGTTACTTCAGCTAATGAGAAATGGCAATGTCAGGCATTTAGCTGAAATATATAATATATAATATATATAATATATATATAATATAATAATCAAAATTATATTAACACATTACGTCTAATTTCATAAACATGAATTCTTACTGCCTTAACATGAATTATTACGAGCAATTAAATATTACAGCATTTATTACATTTACATGGGTTTATCCTGTTATTAAATAAAAATACTATTGTACATTCCTTGTTCATGTTACTTCACTGTACATTAACTAACAATGTATACAACTTTCCAATCTATTTATAAATGGAGAAATTAGCCAAGAAAGATAAATGCAGTACAAGTATTTTTAAATGGTAGTTCAAAATGTGTTTTTAATGACTTAATAATAATAACCTTGGTTTGTTATGGCTATAATTATTTAGCCATTTTCCACATGTATACATTTAGTACTGCAAAAGACTATGCACAGAAATACAGAATTAGCCCAAACATTGACGCAAAACAACGAGACGAGGATACTGATGGCTTGAATTCACTGACACAGGTAATCAGCTAAACAGGGAACAGGTATGACTCAGAAATCATAGCAACAAATACACTCAAGTTTGCTCAAGGGGAAAATAGACATTCAAAAAATCAGGGGATGACATATTTGTAGCAACTCGTCAGATAATAATACAATGCATATCTTTTTGTGCCACAGGTTTCAACGTTAATCATTTAGACATTGCTCCTCGCTATGCCAGTATCCTCATGGGCATCTCTAATGGAGTGGGTACCCTGTCAGGAATGGTGTGTCCTCTTATTGTCGGAGCCATGACTAAACACAAGGTAAGAGCATCTTCAGTTATTAGCACTATGCGCTTGTAAATTTGCTACATGAAATACTGTTTCAAGGTTCAAAGCTCTGCTCATTGAATTTAGGAAACTCAAGATGGTGAGTTAAAGTTTAAGACCACTAAATTTCTTATCACACATTAAAGTGAATCTTTTACAAAATCAAGGTGTAAATGCAGTCTTTGGAATACTTTAATGATTTATACAGACAAATAACTTTCTAACCATCTCAGATTGGGATTTTTGTTAGACTTTCACAGGGATTGCACTTTATTAGTTGTTTAAAAAATAGTACTTTTACTTTTACAGGAGTACATTTTTAGTTCTGTATTGGGACTTTTACTGCACATTTTCCTTAAACCTGCAGCGACTTGATATGTTTATTGATTTTTTATGTAGAATAATCAGTCCTGTGATTCCTATCAATCATGGATAAATCACATCAGACAGACCAACCTCAAGACACAGGCACCTTTTAAATAAAGCAAATATGTACAGTGTGGAAGCATTAAAAGTGTCCTAGAAGAGGGTAAATCATTACACGCAGTAACCGAAAGACTGAACTGAATGTCACTGATGAAAAGGATGCCAACTGTTTATGACAAAAAAGTCTGAAATGCCTAAAACAACAACTAAGTGCACATTTTCAAACACTTGCACAAATTGCATGAATTTATCAGTGCAGAATTAGTTTGTTTTGTGGAGCCAACTGCTGGACACTCATAGCTTTTTAGACAGCATTCGCTTTGCATGTAAATGCAGAAACCTGCATTCTGTCAGCTTATTATAAGCACATATATAAATGAAATGTGTACTCATGTTAAATTAATCTCACAATTTAAATGTACTGTATATGTTTAAGAATGGAAAATAATTTATTGGGGGACCTATTATCCAAAAGTCACTTTTATAAGGGGTTTAAACACAGTTTTGTGGCAACAGTGTGTGGATACACCAGCCTCTAATGGTAAAAATTAATTAATTAACTTTTTTATAATCATACTTTATAAAAACAGTCTGCAGAAACAGTTTGATTCTCCCTTCATAGATGTCATCAGAGTGGGAAAACCCCATCCATTAGTGACGATCTCTCCCTCATCGGCATAAATAGCCCTGAGTGAGAAGCAGTCATCTGCCATTAGAGTTTTCACCTACTGAAGATAATGTCAGCAACTAAGAGGATTATAAATGTGGAGTTTTAGGATGCACAAATGAACACCTTAATCTTCATAGACTGCCTTGTAATGACACACAGACAGTTAGTCCTGTTTTGATTCTACCAGTATCCGTTTGTTAAGTGATGATGTGTTGGTGATGTATGTAATACTGTTTCCGGGTCCAAGCCAGAACTCATTCATTTATTCATTCATTTTCTTGTCGGCTTAGTCCCTTTAATAATCTGGAGTCGCCACAGAGTAATGAACCGCCAACTTATTCAGCACGTTTTTTTACGCAGCGATGTCCTTCCAACTGCAACCCATCTCTGGGAAACATCCACACACACACACACACACACACACACACACACACTTTGGACAATTTAGCCTACCCAATTCACCTGTACCACATGTCTTTGGACTGTGGGGGAAACCGGAGCACCCGTAGGAAACCTGTGCGAACACAAGGAAGAACATGCAAACTCCCCACAGAAACACCAACTGAGCCGAGGTTCGAACCAGCAACCCAGCGACCTTCTTGCCGTGAGGCGACAGCACTACCTACTGTGCCACTCTGTCACCTCCGCCACTCATTTGAATTGAGAAAATATTTGTTTATGATCACTTTTTATTCATATCACACCTTAAAGTGAATTTTATATTAAGTCATAGTGTACACAACTATATCTGGGCTTGCTGCGTACCAAAATTTCAACAATTTATAAAAAAATGAATCACTTTCTGGGCATCGGATATTAGGCATGTGCGATTGTGATATCCGAAAGTATTACAGCGCTTTGTAAATGTTTATTATTACCATTTTATGAGTCTCCCTATACAGTTTGATAGAGTGCTTGGACCCGAAAGCTACTTCGCCTGACGTCACACTTAACTAGTGGATTCTGATGCATAGGCGTTTTTAGCTCCTCCTTCTTTTAAAGAAAGCTGAATCTCATTTGAATTTAAAGTGACAGTCAATAAAACAGCACAATTTGGACCAAAGGCTAAAAGGGACAGTTTCAGAGTGAATAAGGCATTATTTGTGTCTAGGGACACCAGAGACTTATTTTACAGCAAATAAGTATAGCATAATCCCCCTTAACCTACACTTAAAAGAAACAACCTTTAAAGAAAAGGGCATGTTTATGTACGTTCCAGTTGATTTAAATTTTATTGCATTAATCATTACTGTTGAGTACTTTGTGAAGGGCTACTATACAATGAGTAGTATGCTTTTACTCGCACTACGCTTTTTGACAAGTAATGGTACTTTTGTGATACCATTTCTTGTTGGCTTTCGTGTTCAGGTTGCATGGATCATGTTTTGAATATCAGATTTTGTCCATGGTAGATTAAAAAGCTAAAAGTTGTGATATTTATGTGATTTTAAGCAGCACAGCGGGTCTATTATTATCTTATCTTATATAACACTGATCTTTAATCATTCCCAAAAGAGCTCATGAGCTCTGTCTTCATTTCATGCATTATTCTAGCAAGCCCCAGGATGGATTTCTTTGTCAGTGATGTCATTCCTGACGACTCTCTCTTCTTCTTTTCAGACCCGAGAAGAGTGGCAGTATGTGTTTCTTATCGCTTCTCTGGTGCACTATGGTGGTGTAATCTTCTATGGCATCTTCGCCTCTGGGGAGAAGCAGCCGTGGGCAGACCCAGAGCTGACCAGTGATGAGAAGTGCGGCTTCATTGATGAAGACGAGCTGGCGGAGGAGACAGGCGACATCACCCAGAGCTACGGTGCCCTCGGAGCTCCAGCCAAGAGTTACGGTGCCACCACACAGCTGAACGGAGGATGGGCTGAAGGATGGGATAAACGAGAGGAGTATGTGCAGGACGGGGTGGAGGAAGGGGGTTATGGATACAGGCAGGGTGGAAATTATTCCTAGGTCTTGAGAAGACACAATATATGACAAAGACACACACAAACAGAAACTTGCCAGCCGATTCGAATGTTATCACTCGATTGAATGGGTGTTATTAGTGGTTATCAGTTGATAGATATGGGCCAGTAGGGGCCTTATACACCTACTGGTAGGCTCAGAAGGCTGTTATCATACATCCACATGGTTAATCAGCTATAGATCATCTGTGGATGGAAGTTAACAAGAATTATTTACATTTTTTATTACATATACATGTATTTTATAAACATCTACACTTACCCCAACCCTAACCCAACCATCACAGTAATGTAAAAACAGATCTGGATCTGGAGTCTTTTCTATTAGAATAGCAAATTAACCATGTGAATGGATGATAACAGCCTACTGAGCCTACCAGTAGGTGCAGAAGGCCCCTACTGGCCTACATATATCAGCTGATAACAACTGTTAATGCCCATTCAATCAAGTGATAACATTCGAAGCGGGTGAACATGCAGGGGTGTGAAAATGATCTTGGATGCACTTGGAAAACAAGTCACAATTAAAAATATATTAGTAGCATTGCATTAAATAATAACAAACCAAGTGCAATGTGCAACAAACCAGTTTATGTTGCATATTTGTGTATTTGAAGTGTCTTTATTTTAATGAAGAAAAAAAAGTTCTATATGGACAGCAATTAAAACTATTAAGAGACTACTTGATAGTTGTCAATTTCTCTGGATTTACTGTAGTTGTTAGGTTATGTTTTATTCTATAAAGGTTTGATAGCATTTCTTCTAAATTAAGAGTGCTTCTTTTTCCCTAAAATGACAATTAGTCAGAATAACAAATGTTTTAATTTGTTGTTTGTGAAAATCATGGGTATTACATAAATTGTTGACGGATAAACTCGTCTGAAGTAAAAACATAAAAATCCCAGGCACACAACGTCGAAAGATATTAATATTAGGTTAGATTTAGGTCATGGCGTCAGGTGACAAAAAATCAAATGTCTAGCCAGCGTTTAAGGACAGTATTACTTTGATGTCCAATAGCGATGTCAAATAAAGTTGATAATTGGTTGATCTCAGGTTGTGTTGGAAAGTGACCAAAATTCAACGTCGAACCAACGTCATATTGACATCAAACAGAGACATTTATTCGTCAGGTTTGGCAACCAAAATCCAACATCTGCTAGACGTCATAGTGGTAACGTCCACAAAACGTCAAGCTGTAACATCATTAGGCATTGATATTTTTATTTTATTTTTTTTATTTTATGTTGATTTTAGGTTGGACGTTGACATTGGATTCTGACATCAACCCTATTTTCATTACCAAACAAAATGCAACATCCCCATGATGTGCTGCGCCTGCTGGGATGTCCAAAATCATGGTGTTTTTTTTTTGTGATTTTCAGCAAAAAAAAAATCTTTTTTTTTCTAACATGGCAGAAATGTTATCTGTAGTTTACAAAAACAGGAATTACATTTGACTCAAACATTCGTAAATCCAGAGAATCTTTAAGTCTTTTAATCTTTTTTACCATAGCTTTATAAATATACAAATATAAATCATATAATTAGGGCTGGGCGATATGGCAAAAATGCAGTCTCTGTAATTATTTTCCATATTGAACTATAACCATATATATTTCCATATAAGTTGTTAATGCTTCCAGATATAAAGAAGTAGCCCAAAAATTACTGAAGCCACAAATATTAGAGGGTCCATTAAATGACAACATATTTTTGGCAGATAATTTTTTTCATCTCTAATATCACATTTTAGTTGCACAGTTCTGCTGTGTGATTGGCTCTTAGATCAATATAGAGTAAACTAAATTCCATATCTTATTGTTATTGACATAAATTTTATTGTGATTCAATATATTATCATTTATCTGCCTAATTATAATTATATTATCAAACCAAAATAATCTTTTTGTAAATATTAAACTTAAAAAATATATATAGCTTTTTGTTATATAATCTAATGCAATGACTGTAAACTTTTAAGTGTGACTTAAGCATCCACATTTTCGACATCACTGTACATACAGCACAGTATAAAATATAAGCCCACACTGTAGATTTTGTATTGTCTGTGAGAAAAAAAGCTGTAGATTAACAAAAAAAATCTAAAACATTGTTAAAATTGTAATTGTTTGCACAATGATCTAATCCTACATTTAAATATGACTTTAAATAAGTCAGCTAATCAAATGAGATATTACATATCGAATTGGCAGACTGTAAATGTTGTATGTTCTATAAAAAAAAAGTATATTTAATTTCAAGTGCAATCATGCGTACTATTGTGAAAATTGAGTTTCACCCCATTATTCTGAGCCTTCGCAACATGAAGAAGCCTGTGGAGATATTTAGGCAAACGGCTCAGATATTGAACCCGTCAGGAGTCATTCATGCAGAAATACTGCTGTAGAAAATCACAAACAAGCAACTGGTTTCCACTGTTGATTTTTCCGATTGCACTGAGAGAGCTGCCATTTTAACAGCACAACAAAGAGAGTTTCTTTATACCTCATGATGTTTTACTCGTCCATAAACGTATACGTCATGTTTTCCCAGAGATTAAAGAGGACTGTAGTCTTTGACACTGCAGAGAAATAAAAAGCACAGTTTTTTTAGAGGATGAAATAAAAGCAACAAAAGTGTTTCTCAAGACAGGTCTTATGTATGTAAATATATTTTGGATGGTGCTGTTTCAATTTGGTGTTCGCTGTAACTTGGGAAGGGGTTTGGTTTTAGATAATTGGAATGTCTGGGAATATTATCTGCAAGAGCAACAAAAAAGCAAAAGCACAGTGGGTCAAGACTGTGGACTCTTTAATTTCATGTCCTTTTTTTCTCTAACTCCATGCCATTTTGACATCTGTGAATGTTAGTTATGCATGGATTTTTTTTTTTTTTTACTGTTTTTATGCTAGTTTACATTACTAAGCTGTTACTGATGTGTCAATTTCTTTGCACAATTAACCAAAGGTAACCCGCGGTGAGGGATTTTTGTGGGGAAAAGTTTCCATTGAGAGAACCTGTAAAAGGGCTGATACAGACAGTCCTGGCAGCAGAGAATAACCATATTCAATGTACAAAGCAATAAATCCATGGTAACAGTAACTTAGCGGTCACGTCATCCAAAACAATGTAACACATTTAACTGTACGCATTTTGGTTTAAGTGTTTTGTGATGACAATTAAAAAAGAGTAAAGATTAAACATCTACTTACTGTTCAAATATATATATATATAAATATACGAGACTATATTTAGATTTAGCAAGAGTCCAGTGCCGCTCTCTTCTCTGTGGAGAGTTTGTGTGCTGGGCCCACTCACCAGAAGAGAATGATCCTTCAGTGTCGCCTGCGGTTGCGTCCCGTTGGAAACTCATCCCGGGTCCTCAGCACCGCCGGCGGCCGCACCTCTGTAGTCGTCCTGTATGGTTGCCAGTGGTTGCTTTTTGAGAGTATGTTGTTGTCGGGTATCCTTTACGTTGATCCTCCCTTCCTCTTTGTTTGGGGTCTGTGTTTTGTCTGTGGCTTAGAGAAGCGCTCCTTTGCCTCCCTCTTCCCTCGTTTCTCCTTGCATTCTCCCTCTACTGTTGCAATATTCAGTGACACGAGGATTGTGTGTAAAGGTATTCAAAACTCTTCAAACACGACAGTAATTTGCCTGATGATGTTGAGATACCTTATTCTTGTTTCCTGCCTAAGAGTGAAGTGTGAATATATGGCTTCCTTTGCTGTTACTGTAAATGGAGAGGTATGTTGATGTGAAATTTAAATGCTCTATATAGCCTTTTTTATATAAAATTATAACAAAATTGTACTCGCCTCTGGTGTTTTTTTGCAATTCCGCTAAGATTTATTATCTATGTACTTGGAGGATGTGATTATGAGAAGTAGTATGTGATGACGCCTAATAATCAGAGGGGATTAATAGTTGGATACCAATAGTCTAGACGCACTTAACCCTTACTGTAAACGTATCCACTGAATCTGATTGGCTGATTGGGAAGTCCCACTTAGTGAAATCAAACCTTATGGTCTGTCTGTCTGTCTATCCATCCATCTATTTACCTGTCTGTCTGTCTGTCTGTCCGTCCGTCCGTCCGTCCGTCCGTCCGTCCGTCCGTCTATCTATCTATCTATCTATCTATCTATCTATCTATCTATCTATCTATCTATCTATCTATCTATCTATCTATCTATCTATCTATCTATCTATCTATCTATCTATCTATCTATCTATCTATCTATTTATCTATCTGTCTGTCTGTCTGTCTGTCTGTCTGTCTGTCTATCTTCTGTCTGTCTGTCTGTCTGTCTGTTTATCTATCTATCTCTATCTATCTATCTATCTATCTATCTATCTATCTATCCATCCATCCATCCATCCATCCATCCATCCATCCATCCATCCATCCATCCATCCATCCATCCATCGTCTGTCTGTCTGTCTGTCTGTCTGTCTGTCTGTCTGTCTGTCTGTCTGTCTATCTATCTATCTATCTATCTATCTATCTATCCATCCATCCATCCATCCATCCATCCATCCATCCTTCCATTCATCCATCATCGTCTGTCTGTCTGTCTGTCTGTCTGTCTGTCTATATCCATCCATCCATCCATCCATCCATCCATCCATCCATCCATCCATCCATCCATCCATCCATCCATCCATCCATCCAACAATCCATCCATCCATCCATCCATCCATCCATCCATCCATCCATCCATCCATCTATCTATCTATCTATCTATCTATCTATCTATCTATCTATCTATCTATCTATCTATCTATCTATCTTCTGTCTGTCTGTCTGTCTGTCTATCTATCTATCTGTCTGTCTGTCTGTCTGTCTGTCTGTCTGTCTGTCTGTCTGTCTATCTATCCATCTATCTTCTGTCTGTCTGTTAATATAAATAGATGTAAATATATGTATTCCCACATAAAATAAAATTTAAAATATAAAAATTAAAAAATGCATTGCTAGAATATCTATTTCTGATTACTGTCGTCAAGCTCAATTTAC